CAATCAATCAATCAATCAGTCATCAGTAGCTGAACTGGCTTCCACACAGTCACAAAAACAAAACAATCAAAAAAGCCTAAAAAACAAATAAATAAAAAGCAAAAACAAAAGTGCCAAACTTAATCGTTCCTGAAGTCTGTTTGACTTCTTGAAATGTTTGAAAACCAAGGTGCAGCTTCTGATTGGTGCATGCGCCCCGGAAACAATAGCCTACAGCCGCATCGGACGTTCAGCTTCCAAAAAACATTCGAAAACTGGAACACTCACTTCCAGGTTCTCAGCGTTTGGGAACCAAGGCGTTTGAGTACCAAGGTGTTTGAGAACCAAGGCACCACTGTATAATGATACATATTTTTTGCCCATGCATTTTTGGAACCTTTTTTAAAAAAGGTAGTTAGCTAGTATTCTAAACTTTAATCAGTAGATTAGCCAACAAAAGCCATGGTTGACTAATCCAAAAGGACAATTGGGGTAGGATTGGGGTTAGGGTCATAGCTAAGGATCACAGCATTGGGTTAGGGTCATAACTAAGAAATAAGGGTATACTTATTTGAAAACCGTTCTTGGTTCTGGTACAAGTGTAATAGAGAACGAAGAAGAAGATACTGTATTGAAAGAGAAGTAGCTTTTGCTTATGTATCAATTAGTAGTCTCACTCTTCCTTCAGTATATTATAAAAACACTTGTATTCAGGCTTTGTTAATATAACTATCGACTCTCATCTAAATAAAGTGCAATCTGATGCATTTCTGCTCAGAAGTAAGTCCCATTGAATTCAATGGAATTTTCTCCCAGGTGAGTTGTATAGGATTGCAGCCAGGTTAATTGGTTAAGAAAATGTTGCTCCTATTCTTTCTTTAATGATGATGATGATTAATAAGTTAGGGGCTTTTTTATGCAGGTCAGAAGAATGAGGGGTGGTATGATGGGAGGTTATAAAATCACCAGTACGTTACAAAAGTGAATACATTTGCAATTTTCTTCTTCACTTCGAAACTAAATCGGGAAGCAGAGATGACCAGCAGTTAAAATAGCAATAGAAACATAATAAGTTAGGATGGGCTAATCATCTGCCTGAACTTTTCGAATGTCCCCAAAACCTTAATTTAAGGATTACATAGGGAATGGAAAACCTGATTAACTCCAAGAGCCCTGAAAATCCACATAGCTGTGATGGAATCCAATGGCTCTATATTAGAATTCAGAAAATGTCAAGTTGCCTCTTCCCCACCCACCCACCCACCTCCCCTGTCTGGCTTCAAAGTAAGTCCTAAATCTCAGAGAAGCAAAGAAGAGCCTGAAAATGTATTTATTGGCAGTTCTAGCCAGAAAGGGTGGGGAGAAGCATGAGGGGGAAAATCTGGATAGCTGGGGTGATACGACTTAAACACAAGTTTGTGGGCTTTTAAAACCAGTTCAATATTTATCAAGGTATATAATTTAAAACATACAAAGGATAGTATAAAGCACTTAACTTTATTTTCTCGATGGGCATGTTCAGATAGCTGTTTCAGCATATGTAGATAATATGAGGCATTTCGTGTTAATTATCTTCATATGTTGCCCTCATTCCATGTGCAGAATTTGGGGTTGTTTTTTCCCCCAGCACAGATAAAATAGTTGAATATTATAAAATTACCTCTGGAATACAGTGGTACCTCGGGTTAAGAACTTAATTCGTTCCGGAGGTCCGTTCTTAACTTGAAACTGTTCTTAACCTGAAGCACCACTTTAGCTAATGGGGCCTCCTGCTGCCGCCGTGCCGCTGGAGCACGATTTCTGTTCTCATCCTGAAGCAAAGTTCTTAACCCGAGGTACTATTTCTGGGTTAGCGGAGTCTGTAACCTGAAGCGTATGTAACCTGAAGCGTATGTAACCCGAGGTACCACTGTATTGTGTTTTCGAGGAAAAGTTATAGCAATCCTGCAGTCTCTGAAACGTTAGGCCAGGGGTGGGGGACCTGCAGCTCTGTAGGTGTTGTTGAACTACAACTCTCATGATTCTTGAATATTGACCATGCTGGTTTGCATTGATGGGTATTGGAGTCCAACGACACCTGAAGGCCACAGGTTCTCCATCCCTCCTTTTAAGTGCTTCATAAGGGATGCTAACCTTGCAAATATACAAAGTGGCCAGAGAACGGCAGAAGAAAACGTTATCCATAATGGATAGTTATATGAACTGAATCGAAATCAGTATAGTGTGGGTATTTTTTTTTTACAAAAGACTTTCGTTGGACTCAGAAAAACAGGAGCATTGTTTCTCAGATGAAGTAAGAATATCAGGGAGACAGCTGAAGTGTGATAATGGATGACTTCCAGCTACCCTCAAATTGACTGGATGAATGTAAATTCACGCAGTGACAAAAGACTATTTCTAGATACAACGAGTTATTGTATTTTGGAACAGTTAGTCATGAAGCAGACGAGAGAAGGGTCAACGGTTGAGTCTTCTTGGTGGTGTCAGGTCTAGCACCAGTTGCAAGTGTTGTTGAATTGCTTGGAGATGATGACCACAATGCTATCAAATTAAACGCAGGAGAGTGGGAAATGGCCCAGAGTGTCCAACAGTCACTTAATTTCGAAAGGAGAAATTTTATCAAGAGAGGGAATTGGTTAAAGAGAACTGGAACTGCAATTAGGAGGCTCATATCCTTTCAGGAAGCTTGGAGGCAATTTAAAACCGCTGTAGTAGAGCCTCAGAATTCATACATGGATTAGAAGAGGTACAAGCAAGCTCAGGAGGATGCCAGTGTGGTTAAACAGTGGAGTCAGGGAGGCTAGAAAAGATTAGCACAGTCAAGCTCCAGTAAAACTAGCTCTGGGTGTTTGCAGTAGAAATCTCCTATGCACAAAGCAGGGTGGCCTAGCGGTTAGTGTGTCGGACGGGGATCTGGGAGACCAGGGTTGTAATCTCCACTCAGCCATGAAACTCATTGAGTGACCTTGGTCCAGCCACTGTCTCTCAGTCCTAACTTATTTCACAGATTTTGTTTGTGGAGATTAAGTGAGGATGGAGAGAGCTTTAATTTGTACATGCACCGTAAGATTTTCAGTAGCGCAAGCAAGCAACTGACTGGCTAGTGTGAAGATTCACTGTCCTGGGGGATTTAAAGGAAAACGTTGGAGGTGTTGGAAAGGTGTATTGTGGGATTAGGGGTAGTGGTGCCTTGTGTTAGACCAGTGGATTGGACTGGATAACTAATTTTATGAAGATGGCCCAATAGGAGATGATAGTCCAACTTTGATAGCAACATTTCTGCCTCAGTTTGGGACAGGGTAGACTAGCACTTTGTCTCTGTCCTCATTTATTAGTTTATTTAGGGGTTCTCACCTGTCCTCTGTCAACTGGGAAATGGTTAAATATCGCCTTCCCTTATTGGTATAATATTTCTTTTCCAGTGCTAAAATTAAGTGAATACTTAGAATTGGCTAAACTTACAGACTCAATAAGAAATCATTCAAAGGAGAGAATAAGGAAAGAATTGGATGTTTTTATAAAATATATGAAAAATGGTGGTTCCCAGAATATCACTTGGCTCAGCGTAGATTAAAATCCCACTGGCAACCAGACTGTTTCTCCACAGACTTACCTATTGAATACAGATATTTAGGAAAAGGAATAATCAAGTATATTCACGGGAAGCAGGAAGTCATGTTAGGAATCAAGGAGTCAAGCCAGAAGTTGAAAAAAGATGGCTTGTACTCCCTATGAAGAAGTGTATTTGAAAATGCTTGTTTTTGAGGATTTTTTCATTTCTTTTTTCATTCCCCCCCCCATTGCTGAAATGCTTTTTCTTTTTCTTTTTGTTTAATTTTCTGTTATTTGATGTGTGTGTGTGTATCACCTTCTGTCAGGGAACTGACATCGGAGCGAGAGGCGAAGGGAAGGCTCCCAGATGATGCTGGCGAAGGGCCCAGCAGGGGGAGAGGCAGCTCAGTAGAGGGGGAAGCAAATCAGCACAACACCAGGGATAAAGGGGAGCAGATGGGGGAATCAGCGGGAGAGCTCCAGGACTCTTCACTGGACATCAGCGGGGAGAGCACAGGTCCTCCGCTACCCACGCCCTCCCTGCGCAGAAGACTCCCGCGCAGTGAGAGGAGGAGGAGACTGGGCGCCAAACAACTTTTATGTTGGAAGAGGTTTAAGAAATGCCCACTGATGGATTCTGCTAGCGACTGAGGCAGCCACGGTGAGAAGGGCTGTCCAGTCAGAAAGGTTTAACAAGGCAATTTAGCCTGGAGAGGCAGCAGTTTACGCACGAGCAACCCATACGCATTACACCTTCCCTTGCCCTCCAACATTTCTTTGCTGAAAATAGTGACATCCTATTCCATACTCTCCAACATTTCTCAGACGAAAATGGGGATATCCTATTCCATACCCTACAGCATTTCTCCGAGGAAGATAGGGATGTCATAAGGAAAAGTGGGACACTACGGCATCACATCAGAAACTGGGATGGCTTCTGAAAATCTGGGCCCATCTCTGGAAAATAGGGACACTTGGAGGGTCTGTCTTCCCCACCACCTCACCACTACCCTAATATGACTTGTCTTCTTATCTTTTCCTTCTCCTCCACTGGCTGTTAAGTTTTCCAAAAACATGGGAAGGCCTAAACTTGAATTTCCTGTGTAACATCTGTTTTGGCCTAGAGATTTAAAACAAAACAACCAAATTTGAAGTGTGTGGTGTGTTACTGGGATTGAAAGGGGATTCTGAAAATATTAACAAATACCACTGCTTTCAGGTAAAGTTGCCAAGTCTGAGCTTTGGTATGAAACGCAGTACTGTAGCAAGCTTGGTCCATATGGCTGGCTCCATCTAGCGGTTGAACAGTATAGTTGTCCCGAATGGAAATTCCACTGGGGGCCAATGTTTAAAGAAAGCAAGCGGGGGAAGCCACACTCCAGATTAATGCAGCAAATTGAGGCCAGAGAACCTTAAATTCTCCTCCATTGCCTCTCCACCTCACAACCACTTGTTCTCCTCCCCACCAGGAATTTGCAGCGCTTACAAAGGAGTTGAACTTATGCCGGGAACAGCTGTCAGAGCGAGAGGAGGAGATCTCGGAGCTGAAGGCAGAACGGAACAACACACGGGTGAGCAGGGGAAGGCTCTGGAATCCAGAACTTGCCTGACAGTGCCGCGTTTTGTGTGTTCATGTTACAGAGTCTCTCCCAGAAATCCCCAGCCTGGTTGTACCCAGACGTTTTGATAGACAACTCCCACTTGCCTCACCCCAAAAGATCCAGAGGGTACCAGTTTGGGGAAGACTGGTCTATGTGAGATTTTTAAGAGGTGGATGTGGGAAGATGGTGGGATCTTGATGTTTTGGCAGCAGTTGAACATCCTTTTTGGACAGATGGCTTTAGGGGGAGAAATGAGGTATCTCCTGCTCAACTGTTTTTGCTGCAGCAGGAAACAGAAGGCTTGGGCCCAAAGCTCAGATGGAACAGGAATTAGGGTACTGTGGATTTACCAATCTCACTTACCTGGCCTGTTTTCAAGGCCAACCAGGCAACTCAAATTGAGCAGAGCCTAGTACTTCCACCACCATCCCTCAATGGTAAGTTCTTCTTCTGCAGCAAAGCTGTTGGAAAGCTTACTAGGGAAGAACTCATTCAAAGGAAGCTGCTGATGAAACCATAAAGGTACCTTACAGTAGATCCACCATTGTGCATAGGCTTGGTTCACAGATAACACTCAGGCGTGAGTTAAGCATGAGTTGTCCCACGATGATCAAACAAAAAATGACTTGTTTATCCGAATCTTGTTTTGATTTCCAGCTGCTCTTGCCTTGTGCCTTTGCAGTCTGGTGAGTTCACGTGCAATGTAGGGCTGCCTACAATTTTGGGGTCTTCCTAAACACAGCTTAAATGAATTAACTAAAAGACCTACTACTTCCTTCCCAATGAAGAGCTTTTATGCTCGCAAGACTAAATGCTTTCCCCTCCGCAGTGACCACAGCTAGATACTCGCAGATTCCTTATCAAGCCCGCTTGTGTGCCTGCAATCAGGGAGTACCAGATTCACTGGACCATATTCTCTTGGACTGCCCTTTGCACAGCAGACTCTGCAAACAGATGAGGTTCCTCCTAGCGGATAGGGACAAGGACATTACTGCCTCAGTGGCTTCCTTTTTATTCTCCGTCTTACCCAAAAGGGTTCTTAATGAATCATCCCTCTAGGGTGAAGCGGAACAATCAAGTGCCTTGTGACCCTCGACAGCCTCACTCCTGTCCCTTTTAAATTTATCCCAGTGATTTGAAATGTCTTAACTTATAATGCCAGTAAAGGTATTTGTATTGTATTGTATTGAATCAAGTTTCATAAGCCAACAACAAACCATGGTTTCAGTTAAGCTACTAGGCAGGGCTCACTCATAATGCTAAGCCATTGTTTAATAAACCATAATTGAATAAACCGTGGCTGAATGTTAGTCAGGCCATATTGTCAGTCAGAAGCTGACCATAGCTGAGTACTTGATCTGTCTGATTCATTCAAAGGGACAAGCAAAATAGGTTTTCTTGCACTTACGTTGAAGGGCACTGCATTGAGAAGATTTTCATTGCTCTGGTTCTGGTTTGCCTATGAGAATTTCTAAAGTTAACTCTGTAATTGGAGCGTGTGAAGTTTGTCGCAACTTCCAGTTGCAACATTCTTCCAGCTGCATATTCTTTTATTTGCTTCTTCTGTGGTGCATTTGCGTTTAATGAACTAGGATCATGTGTGCAGTCACATTAAGATTGGTTTTCAAAGCACACTGGAGTGTTTGTCACTGCTTATTGAATGTTCTGACAGATTCATAATTTGTGTACTAATCATTCTGGGGTTGCTGTTTTTTTGGTCTGTTGCATTAAATTAGAGGCCTGTTATTTTTATGTTCCTTATGGGGTGTTCTTTTCTTTTTCCCCAAGGTCTGTTTCCCCCCTTTTAGGGTAGGAACGCTCTTTCATTCCCCCTTCTGTTGTTATTTTCACTGATAGAACCTCCCACCACATGTGATAGCAAAACTGCTTCCCCCCTCCCGCCCCCATCTCTGCTTGTTGAGAACTCACTCCCTGCACCCCTGTTTGGCACAAAAGTGGCCATTTGGCAGAGGAGGCCATTTTAGAAAAGCAGAGAAGGATCTGCGTTACAATCTGTGGCTGTTGAGATTTGGGTCCCTGTCCATCCCTAGCTATGTACCTGCAGCCTCTCTATATCTCCATCAATCCTCAAGCAACACTATATCTGTCTGTCTCTTCTCCCTAGTTGCTGCTAGAACACCTGGAATGCCTTGTATCGCGACACGAACGCTCCCTCCGCATGACGGTGGTGAAGCGGCAGGCCCAGTCGCCGGCCGGTGTCTCCAGCGAGGTGGAAGTGCTGAAGGCCCTCAAGTCTCTCTTTGAGCATCACAAGGCCCTGGACGAGAAGGTGAAGAGAGGGCAGAGCAACTCTTGACAAGGCAGTGGAGCTGGGCTTGTGGGGGTGTTCTAGGAATTTGCCCCAGGTGCCAAGCCTGGGTACCTGCAGTGTTAGAAACTCAGATAAGATATATAAGCCAGGGGACAATAATGGCTCCTTAAACCAAGGTTAGGGACACGGGTGGCGCTGTGGGGTAAACCACAGAGCCTAGGGCTTGCCGATCAGAAGGTCGGCAGTTTGAATCCTCGTGACAGAGTGAGCTCCCGTTGCTCTGTCCCTGCTCCTGCCAACATAGCAGTTCGAAAGCACATCAAAGTGCAAGTAGATAAATAGGTACCGCTCCAGTGGGAAGGTAAACGGCGTTTCCGTGTGCTGCTCTGGTTCACCAGAAGCAGCTTAGTCATGCTGGCCACATGACCCGGAAGCTGTACGCCGGCTCCCTCAGCCAATAAAGCGAGAAGAGCGCCGCAACCCCAGAGTCGGCCACTACTGGACCTAATGGTCAGGAGTCCCTTTACCTTAAACCAAGGTTGCAGTCTCCAAAACATAAGGTCAAGTTGCCATTTTGGAGCAAAACAGCTCTAAAGTCTTGCTTTTCAAACGATGGACTGATTGTGATTGATTCTCAGTTAAACATCCGGCTAGTTCAGACGACAACCTTGGGCTAGGTTAAGGGCTTTGAGAACTTAAAGAAGAAAAGTCACTTGATTCAGGGATAGTTCACATATATATTGGCCTATTCCGACTTCTCTTCCTTAATGGCGACTGCTCCTGCTCAGGCTGCACAGAAAAACCAATTTGGTCCCAGAAATTCCTTCCAATCGTGCAGATAAAATATAATGGATAGAATTCTACGGGATGGGGTGTTAGTGTGTGAAAACAGTCCAGATTCAATGATCCCCTGATGGTGGAGATGTCAGCCGCCATCCCAGCGCCCAGGCATCTTCACTTGGTTGCAGGTGGTCGAAAGCCAGGTGCAAAGTCTGCCTGGCACCCGGCTCATTTTGAACCCTGGGTACCTGCGGCCTGCAGATGCTGTTGGACTTCAACTCCCATCAGCCCCAGCCAGCATGGCCCAATAGTCAGGAATGATGGGAGCTGTATTCGAACAGCACTGGCAAGGTTTCCCCATCCCTGCTTCAGGGGAAGTGTCACTTGTGCCATATTTAAATCATAACTGCAGCTATTCTGCCTCCAGCCACTATTTCTTCTGGCTTGAACAAAGTGCAGGAGCCAGAACGAGACCATCGGGGAAGCAGTACGTGGTTAGGGGAAAATCTGGTCTGTTGCCAAAGGTGTGAAAATACCATGGTTAGCAGAGTTGCATACTGGGGGAGGCAGGGACTGTGGGGATGAAGGAAGCTGGCTGTTTCTCTCCTGCCTGACTAACGCCTCTTCGACTCTCTCTCTGGTGCACGGCAGGTTCGAGAACGGCTGCGAGTGGCGTTAGAGCGGGTTGCAGTATTGGAGGAGGAGCTGGAGATGTCCAATCAGGAGGTAGGAAGGAGATTCTGCTCCCGCCTGCAGCGGGAGGTTGGTTGAGATGTGTGCTGTGACCCTCAGGCACTACTGTGAGCCAGACTCAGCCGGCAATTCGCAGAGGTTTGCGAGCTGAGATTCCCCACAAGGGGACCGTGGGTTTGTGGATGCTGGTGTGTGTTACTGACATGGCAACCCCCAGAGATAAGCAGGGAAGGGGCATAACTGGATGCAGCTTGCAAGTCGATGTGGGGGGGATTGGTCTTGGAACAATGGTCTTCATCTCCTTCATTCATGAAGGAGATAGGTGAGTCTCTCTTGGAAGAGAATCCTGCTGTTCAGGCACCACCACCGACCAGGCCCTGCCTCTCATACTTGATGGTCCTTTACTGACTTGCACGCAGACTCTCTCTACGAATGCTGATGGAGGTCCAAGGTAGATGCAGGCATTCCCCGCCCCGCCCCCATTTATGTGCATTCTACTCGAGCACAATCGCATATGCACGGCGCAAGGAAATAATTAAATTCAAAGCTGGAAATGATGGGTGAGAGCTGGAGAGTCCTTGTGGCTCGCGAGGAGACCCTCCACAGACCCTCCACAGAGCCCAAAAAGGATGTCAGTAAGGGCAGAGAAAGCCCCAAAGAGACTGGAGGTGCAGCAGGGTTTTGTTTATGCTGCTCAGCCTCCTCTCCTAACAGCTGATGTGTGGGGTAGCACCACAGCAGCAACTGCTTTCCCATGTATCAATCAATCAATCAATCAATTTCCTTTATTCGACCGATAGTCAGAAATAAAACATTACACAATAATTATAAACTATAACATCATAGGGGTACATAAATAAGGTAGGGCCACAGTACTAGACCTCTCACAGATAACCCACATCAAAGCATTCAGTTATACGTTTCCGACACTTGAGTGCCAGGAAAGGGAATTTAGCCACTGACAAAGTTGTTTTCCCAGAAGACTTATTTAGCAGATATGCTGTCTGCTTTCCTCTTTGTCGGGAACTGAGCTGGGGTAAGTATGGAGCTATAAGGTACTGTCTTAAATCGTTGTAGATGGGACAGCTCAATAAAATGTGCTCTGTGGATTCTACCTCACCCAATGCACAGTGGCATAATCTCTGGTCATATGGGACTCCTCCATATCTTCCCTTCAGAACCGCCGAGTCAAGAACATTCAGCCTAGCCGCAGTAAATAGTCTGCGGTATTCCACGTAGTGGATATCCGCCAGGTAGTGAGCTGGAGCAGCCCAATACAACTGCTCCCCCAGAAACAGCCCAGGTTTCACACGGGCTATGTCCTCCTGTCTGGCAATATCCCTTAATCTTTGAGCGATCACCGCCTTTGCGTGGCTATACGTCATGGACTCTATATAAAGGGAGGACAACCCACACTTCTGCACTTCCTCCACTATCTCCCATGTATCCTCCAGCCTTCTGCTGGCCCCAGAGCTTCAATTCTAGTTGCGATTTTTGGATACAGTATTTTTGGTATGGATTGAAGAGAGTGTGGCAGAGAGGGTGCTCCCCACTTTACGCGATTTCACTTAAGTGCACAGGGAACGTAACCCCCGTGTAAGTGGGGAGTCTTCTATACCTAGGGACCATCTTTCTACGCAGGTAGCACTGTGGTCTTGGGCCTCTTGGGCTTGCCGATCAGAAGGTTGGCAGTTCGAATCCCTGCGATGGGGTGAGCTCCCGTTGCTCTGTCCCAGCTCCTGCCAACCTAGCAGTTCGAAAGCATGCCAGTGTAAGTGGATAAATAGGTACCGCTGCAGTGGGAAGGTAAATGGTGTTTACGTGTGCTCTGGTTTCCATCATGGTGTTCTGTTGTGCCAGAAGCGGTTTAGTCATTCTGGCCACATGTCCCAGAAAGTTGTCTGTGGACAAAGGCCGGCTCCCCAACCTGAAAGCGAGAGGAGCACCGCAACCCCATAGTCACCTTTGACTGGACTTAACTGTCCAGGGGTCCTTTACCTTTACCTTTGTTGTTGTTGTTGTCAGTATTATTTATACCCCACCCATCTAGCTGGGTTCCCCCAGCCACTCTGGGTAGCTTCCAACACATATAAAAACGTAATAAAACATTAACCCTTTATATATGCATTTGGCATGCTAACATCCCACAGTTTGGTGCAGCGCAACGGCTGACATTTAACATGGGCAATAGGTTCCCCAGACTGGAATGATTTCCTACTACAGCTGAAGAGACTATTGTTGCCCTACTCTGATTGCCACCTGCCTCTCATTCCTCAATTTTATTTTTCATTTCATTTTATTTTTTTTATTTTTTTAATTAAGTTTTACATAACAAATTTAAATTCAAACATTAAACTTCAACATCGTCATTTGGGATTCTCTGAATCCTTCAACTCCCCTCTGCCCTTCCATGGTTACCATTATCAACCTTTTTTCAACTGCTTCCCTTATTTTCTTTATTTTAAAAATAACAATCCATTTTTACCATAGTTTTTTTGTACATTACAAACATTACTCAAATCCTGCCAAAGTTTTTAGTTTATAAATACATTATAATTTTTGGCCATTCCTTCTTTAATTTCTTCTCTTCCTGGTTTCTGATTTTCCCAGTCAATTTTGCCATTTCAGCATAGTCCATCATCTTCATCAGCCATTCGTCTCTGGTCGAAACTTTGTCTTCTTTCTATCTCTGGGCCAGTAGTATCCGCACTGCTGTTGTCGCAGACATAAATACTTGTATAAAATAAAAACGGCTTTTTATTTTTCATTTTAAACACTAGTGCATCTTCTCCTTCCTTTTCTTCCTCTTCCTGTCTTCAGTCTCTTTCCCTTCGAGAGCAGCTTGCCCGACGCCGATCTGGCCTGGACGACCCCAGCAAAGAGGGAGACTCCCAGATTTGTGTAAGTGGTGCGGAAGGGAAATATAGGCAAAGTGCATGGACTTTCACCAGTTCTTCTCTTGTGTGAGGGGTTTGTTTGCCTGTGGGAGGTGGCTATGGATGCTTGCTTGTTTCAGTGAGTTTGGCAGGGACAGTGTTTGTTTGTTTGTTTGTTGTTCAAAATTAAAACAAAACATATCCAGAAACATATCATCCTTATTTCCCCCCCATTTTTCCTCCCTCCCCCCGCCCTCCCACACAAAACCCACCCACCCCCCGACTTCCCTCAGTTCCATTCTTTGATTTCTCTGAGAATGCTGATTTCTGCATGTTACAAAGTTGTATAGATCCTCAAACTATTCAGCTGATTATTATCAATAAAAAGTTTGTGAATGTTTATTCAAAGCCAGCCAAGGAGTCCAGTTCGCTTTGTTGCATCTTCAAATACTTTGTAAAGGGTTCCCGTTCATCTTTAAAGTCACAGTTATCCTTGTCCCGTAGCTTATAAGTCAGTTTTGCCAGTTCTGCATAGTCCGTCATTTTTTCTTGCCATGATTCTTTAGTTGGGGTTTCTTCAGTCTTCCATCCTTGTGCTATTAGAACTCTCGCGGCCGTTGTCGCATACATGAAGATGTTTTCCAGCTTTTTTGGCAGGGACAGTGTTTGTGGCATGCCATAATCCCTTTCCCTTCCTTCTGTTTCTCAGGCCAATGGATCCCTTGAGTTGGGGCGCGGGGGCCGGGAATCGGAGCTGGAGGAGGTGTTGGAGCGCCAGCGAGGAGAGCTTTCTCAGCTAAAGGAGCGACTGACCATGCTTTGCCGGCAGATGGCAGAGCTGGAGGAAGAGCTGGCTACAGCCCAGCGGGACCTCATCAAGTCTGAAGAGATCAACGCCAAGCTGCAACGAGACCTCAAGGAGGTAGACGGCCACAGCTGGAACACTCCATACATATCATTATAATTATTACCGTATTTTTCGCTCCACAAGACGCACTTTTTCCCTCCTAAAAAGTAAGGGGAAATGTGTGTGCGTCTTATGGAGCGAATGCAGGCGGGAGGCAGGCGGGAAAAGCCCCCAAGAGCCGCACACACGCTCCGTGCACTCTTTAAAGGGAGCGTGGCTCTTGCGGGCTTTTCCCCAAGGAGGGAGAAGGGACTGACGTGGCTACAACTTAGGGGCCAGGCAAGCCTTTTTGAGGAGGCCGGTGCCCAACTTGCATGCTATTACTTAAAAGGTCCTTTTTCTGGGAGCCATTGGCTCAGAATGCCCTCTTTCAATTTGCCTCCCAATTCTTAACTGGTGAATTGGAATGAGGGGAGGGGAGCATTGCCCACTGTTTTGCCCCCAATACCACAGAAGGAGGAGCTTGTCATGGCAGCTTAAAAACAACAATAACAACATCAGGGAAAATCCCATTGGAGGAAACCTGGCAGCCCTGCAGTTTGATGGTGGATTTTTTGTTACAGTACCATGGTAAACACCCCATTCCCCTGAACTTCCACATAATGGCTCAGGGACAAAATTATGCCCCAGCTTTCCAAAGGCTTGATTCCTCCTCCCCCCCCAAAAAAATTTGACTTTACTACAGCCCTAGAGCTGCTCACCCGATTTCTGAGGGTAGGGTCACCCAGAGAAAGGCCTCAGAGAAAGATCTTAATTTCCAGGCCGGTTCATATGTCAGCAATATGTTATGGCCGCAAAAGAGGCAAATTCAGTGTTGGGAATTATTGAGGAGAGATTGGAAAATACAACAGAATGTAATGTCAATATATAAACCTGTGGCACCCACATGTAGAGTACTGTAGTGTGTACATTTCTGGTTCTCTCCAAAAGAATATTATGGAGTTTTTTTGTTTAAAGGCAAATGAAAAAAATGACAACTAAAATGTTCAAGTGACTGAAACAGTCATGAGGAAAGGTTTAAGATGATGATGGGCAGATCTACACACACGCACACACACACACACACGCACATACAGCAATTTTAATGTGATTTCTCCCTGGCAGTTTATATCACATTTTAATCAGTGTGTGTTAAAAAGTCTGCCCACAGAGTCTCTCATAAAGAAAAAGAAAAGGCTTTTCAGTTTGTAAGAAACAAGAGATTTGTGTGCAAAATCCAAAAAAGAGGCCTAGCATTAACGCCTCAGTGATGCCTGCACTTGTGTGGGAAGCTTGTTCTTACAACTGGTACCAGCTTTGCTATGGAGCATGACGACTCACAGAGGGGGGGTCTGTTTGTGCAGTAGAATACAACTCTGGACCCCAAACCACTGCCTAAAAAACAGGGCAGACTCCCAAGAGCACAAGGTTTGGTCATCCCTTGCTTCACAGATCTGGGCTTTTTGATTTAGAAAAGGGAAAAAAAGACACAAAGGTGGGGTATGACAGAAGGTGAAATTTTGAACAGTGTAGGGAAAGCGAATAAGTACTCCCTCTCAAAGCTACTAAAACCTCAGTTTCACTAAAGCAGAGATGAGGAATCTGTGGCCTTGCAGATGTTGTGGGACTCCGACTCCCATCAGCCCCCGCCAGCATGGCTGATGGCCAGGAATGATGGGAGATGTACCCCAGTAACTTCTGGGAAGCCAAAGATTCCCCATTCCCTACACTAAAACCTCAAGCGACCAGCAATAAGATTGCTGGGTGGGGTTAACAAAGGAATGCAGCAAACTGCTGCTCCCTCAAGTAGACAATATACAGAGAGAGAGAGAGAGAGAGAGAGAGAGATCTCTCCACATGTTATTTAGTGCATGCAAGGCACCAAGAGGGACACGGGTGGTGCTGTGGGTTAAACCACAGAGCCTAGGACTTGCCGATCAGAAGGTCGGTGGTTCGAATCCCCACGACGGGGCGAGCTCCCGTTGCTCGGTCCCTGCTCCTGCCAACCTAGCAGTTCGAAAGCACGTCAAAGTGCAAGTAGATAAATAGGTACCACTCCGGCGGGAAGGTAAACGGCGTTTCCGTGTGCTGCTTTTGTTCGCCAGAAGCAGCTTAGTCATGCTGGCCACTTGGCCCAGAAGCTGTACACCGGCTCCCTCGGCCAATAAAGCGAGATGAGTGCCGCAACCCCAGAGTCGGCCACGACTGGACCTAATGGTCAGGGGTCCCTTTACCTTACCTTTAAGGCACCGAGAACCTTCATTTCTTCCACAACTGGCACCTAAAGGAGATATGTGGGAGTTCCCAGTGTGACTTCTCCATCATTCCCTTCTCTTGTCTGGTGGGGGGTGACAGGCTCTAGCCCAGCGGGAGGACATGGAAGAGCGGATCACTACTCTGGAGAAACGCTACCTGAGTGCTCAGAGGGAGGCAACCTCTCTCCACGATGTCAACGACAAGCTGGAGAACGAGTTGGCCAGTAAGGAATCCCTGTACAGACAAGTGAGTCCCTTCCTTCCTGTCTTTCTGTGTCCTCTCCTGGCTGAGTAACCTTGGCTGTTCCCAACACCTCCCTCCTTAAACCTGGTTGTCCCAGGCATCCTCTCTCTACTCTTCCTAAGCATGCAGGTGGTTGTGAAGTTGCCCGTCGCTTTCCAGTGTGTCCCTACTGGTGTATGCACTTCCAAGTGATGGAGGTTCACTACAGCTTACTCCTCCAGCCCACCTTTGGTGGACTTGGAAAATCTTATTTCCGGGCTGTTTTGTCACCTTCCATAGTTGCACAGGCATCTGAAGCTGGCTTAAGTTCCCCTCCAGGTGCATAAAGCACCCAAATTCCCTGGTTCGCTCCCTTCCCTTCCCTTGTCCAAAGCATCAAGTTTGATGGGGTCACTGCTTGGAAGTCATTCATTGACAAGACCATCGGACTTAACCTTTTACCCTGCGCAGAGTGAAGAGAAGAACAGGCAGCTACAAGACTGGCTGGAAGATGCCAAGCAGAAGCTTCAGCAGACCCTCCAGAAGGCTGAGACCTTACCTGAGATAGAGGCCCAGCTGGCCCAGCGAGTGGCAGCCCTCAACAAGGTACTTGCGCGACGGGGAGGAAGTGGCCAGCGCGCCGCATGGCTGGTGGAGGAAGTGGGCAATGAGGCACACCTGCTGGAATCAGGAAAAGGGGGATCAAATGGGAGTCATGGCTTAACACTCCCCTTCACTCTCTTCTTAGATTAGCCTCAACCAGAGCCAGGGCCTTTTCAACACTGGTGGAACGCTCTGCCTCATGAGACCAGGGCCCTGCAGGATCTGATTTCTTTCCGCAGGACCTGTAAGGCAGAGTTGTTCCGCCTGGCCTTTGGCTTGGAGTCAATTTGAGTCCCTCCCCCTCTTTCTTTTTTCCTTTCTCCTCCTGTGATGAGGCTGCATTTTAATGTTTTAATGTTGTATTTTAATCTTGTTTTTAAGTTGTATTCATTCAACTTGTTTTTATTATTGGTTGTTAGCCGCCCTGAGCCCTGCCTTGGCTGGGGAGGGCGGGGTGTAAATAAAATTTATTATTATTATTATTATTAAGGCAGAGGAGCGCCACGGGAATTTTGAGGAGCGCCTGCGTCAGCTTGAGGCCCAGCTGGAGGAGAAAAACCAGGAGCTCCAACGGGTGAGGTCATGATGGGAAGCAGGGCAGGAGTTTGATGGGAAAGTGGGGTACCAGGAACTGGAAGAAAGACTATAAAGTAGTTCATTGGTGGAACATGTTGCTCTGTGTGTAAAAGAGCCCAGGTGCATAGGCACCAACTCTTAAGGGGCCCAGACCCTTTCAGGCCCCATTGACTGTGATGAGATGCCCCAGCCTCCCTCTCTGCCACCACCGTTTGAGAGTGCAGGTAAACTCCCCGGTCATCCACCTGACTCCCTTTCTCCCAGGGTGCGCGCCCTCCTCTCTTCTCCTCTGATGGCCTTGGCCTGAACCCTTCGCCCTACCACAGAAGGGATTGCTCCTGGGCCTGCCATCGCCCCCTAGTGAGTCCACTGGCTCAGCCTCTCAGCACCATCCTCAGCCCAGGCAACGCTGTCTCCTGCGCCCGGAGCCCAGCTGCCTGGGCTTCGGAAGTGCTGGGCCAGGCCAGGGAGGGAGGAAGGCGGCACAGCCTCTACCAGGCTGGGGACCCCCACTCTGGGCTACACTCACCTGGCTCCGGCCTGCCTCCCTCCCTCCTTCCGGCAACCTTCCAAAAAATATTTTGTTCAAATTGGCGCCCCTGCCCAGGTGCAATCCCTGGCAACTCTAGGTAGGGCTGGAAAAGGCCCCTATCCAAAATACTGGAGAGCTGGTGCCACACAGTGTAGACAACACCAAACTAGATGGACCAGTGGTCTGATTCAGTCTAAGACAGCTTCCTGGAATCCAATTTTAGAGAGCTTTTGTGGATACAGAGGCCATAAAGCATTGTAAAATCAAGCAAGGAAGAGGGGGCTGTTGGATGTGAGCAAGGCAAGACAGTGGGAGGTGGAATCAGAGGTGAAGGTTTCTGGGAGGCGAGTGAGAAAGACAGAGGCAGGGGTTGTTGCCCTGTCTCCAATGCCTGCTGCCTCCTTTGTTAAAAAAAACCAAACAAACAGGCACGCCAAAGGGAGAAAATGAACGACGAACACAACAAGCGCCTCTCGGAAACGGTAGACAAGCTGCTCTCTGAATCCAACGAACGTCTCCAGTTGCACCTCAAGGAACGGATGGGGGCCCTGGAGGAGAAGGTAGGGTGTGTGGGCTTCTGGTGAGAGGTAGGAATGTGGTTTGGGGAGAGCTGCTTCGGAGCAGCCATGTGTCTGCTGCAGTGGCGTAGCGTGGGGGGTGCAGGGGGGGCCGGCCGCACCGGGCGCAACATCTGGGGTTAGGGCAAACCCACAGGTTAGGGGGCGCAAATCCACGGGTTAGGGGGCACAAATCCACGGGTTAGGGGGCGCAAATTACTTGCCTTGCCCCGGGTGCTGACAACCCACGCTACGCCACTGGTCTGCTGTCCCTGTTCTCATCAAGTAGGGGAAATCAAAGGGAGGAACTGTCAGAGCCAGGAAATGTGGTGGGGAGATAAGGATTGGCCCTCTGGAAGGCAAAAAGTTGGGGTGACTCTGAAGCACAGACTTCACCTGTTCGAACCTCTTGAGGTCTTGAAAGGTGGTACTATCTGAAGCCTTGCCCTAACAATTTGACCAGATGAAAGGCCAACAGCTCTATTCACATTCCCTCAGCAGCCACAGCTATGGCAGCCATGTTGGTTTTCTGAAATACAGTCCACTGGCAAGCAGATAAATAGGTACTGCTGCGGTGGGAAGGTAAATGGCATTTCCATGCGCTCTGATTTCTGTCACGGAGTTCTGTTGCGCCAGAAGCGGTTTAGTCATGCTGGCCACATGACCCGGAAAGCTGTCTGTGGACAAACATCAGCTCCCTCAGCCTGAAAGCGTGATGAGTGGTGCAACCCCATAGTCGCCTTTGACTGGACTTAGCCGTCTAGGGGTCCTTTTGCTGGGAACTCTGGTTTTGGATTACTGTGAGTAAAGAAGCACGGCCACCATCACAAAAAACAAGATGGCAGCCATGTGTTTTTTAGCCACAATGCACCAAAATTTCCGTTTCCATGTACTTCAGGAAAATAACTGCTAGTTCCAGTCATGGCAACCACCCACCCAGATGCCAAGCTAGAAGGGAGCCCAGGAGGTTCTCCACCAAGGGCCCTCATGTGAGGGACATTTAGGACTCTCAATGTTAGGCAATTGCTGTGATGGTTTTGGCTGCTGTTAGGGTTGGTCTTAACAGCAGAGGCAACTGCAGAGAAGAGGCCGCGGCCCTTCAACGCAGCTTCAGTCACCTGATGCAGAAAACCCACCTGGGTTGAGCCTTCCATGTGGGGCGATGGAGAATATGGGGCATGCAGGAAGGGAGGGAGGAACATTCTGTCAAGGGGTCCTACCTTCATTCTCTTGCTCTCACTAAACTCTTTCCTTTCCCCTCCCCCCATAAAGAACACACTGAGTGAAGAAATAGCCAACATGAAGAAGGTTCAGGATGAACTACTGGCAAACAAGGTGAGGCTAATTGTGGCTGAATTACTATCGGAGAGGGTGAAAGTCACTAGTCATGAAATCCAGAAGGGAGGAGAATGTCCTGAATTTTCAGGGTGAGCTAAGGGCTAGAGGAAGAGGAAGGGAAACTTCTGGGAGTATCTGAGGGCTAACAAACTGAGTCAGAATCCTGCTAAGATGGAGGCGTTGTGGGTGAGTGGTTTGCCTGTTTGCAAGCTGGAGAGTTTATCAGTTTGGGTCGGGAATGCATAGAGAAGAAACAGGTCCATCGTTTTTGGGGTGTTCCATTTCTTTCACTGAAGGCTCAGGTAACCTCCGTGGCAAGGGGCCCCGTTATCAGTTTAAGATGGTATGCCAACTACACCTTTTCCTGAACATGAATAGCTTGACCGCTGTGACTCACGTTTTGGTAACCTCACGATTGGAATACTGTAATGCCCTTTGTGTGGGGCTTCCCTTGAGACTCATTCGGAATGATGTGGCCAGGTTGTTGAGTGGAGCACCTAGAGATGGGCATTTTCCACTCTTGCCCATATTCTGTGTAATACCTTTCCCTCTGTCATATGTTGTTGGCATCCATCTGTCTTGGGGGTGAAGTCAAACTTCTGCGTCAACAGCACCGAAGTAATCTCCCTGGGCAGTGTGTATGGAAGTTCTCCCTGGGCAGTGTGTATGGAAGTCACTCCTTAGCTTTTTACTGTGGTACCTCTGGATGCGAACAGGATCCATTCCAGAGCCCCGTTTGCATCCTGAAGAGAACGCAACCCGCCTCTGCGCGTGCGCAGGTCGCAATTTGCCACTTCTGCCCATGCGCGTGACGCCATTTTGAGCGTCTGCACATGCGCGAGCGGAGAAACCCGGAAGTAACGAGCGCAACCCAAAAATGCTCAACCTGAAGCAACTTTATCCCATGTTATGACTGTATTACGCTCTTCTGTGTTCAGCTGTTGTATGCTGCTTAGAGATAAATAAAATAATATATTTTAGAAATACTATATCTTTAAAAAAACAAATACGATGGAGGGCTTTGAAGTCTGCTAGGTTGCTTCCAAGTTTTTGGTTTTTTTAAACAACAATTTTTATTAGTTTTCAATTACAATAATCCAATAATAGCCTCATTATAACAATGCCAAATTATAATACAATTACTAATACCAATCATTCAGATGCCAAATTATATAATTTAGGTGGCCCCCCACGTACTAGAATTGATGGTTTGATGATTTACTTTATTTCTGCCTTCCAAAATCTTATTAATTTCAATTACACTCCAGTCAAATTAGCAATCCCTTATACAACAAGTGCAATTCTACCGACTTCCATTTGTATTGACACATTAAATGATCTATAAACGTACGGGTGAAGCATTCAAACGATATCCTTGTTCTTCCTGTGTGCGGTAGTTATTCTGTCCTTGATGTTTCTTCTTGTCCTTGTAAAATATTATGCCTATCTTTTCCTGGTTGTTGCTGTTCTCCATCATGCCTTGGGCAGAGCTAATAGGTTGCTTCCAAGTTTTGATGGCCTTCTTTGCATATGTCCTACAGGAACAACTCTTAGCTGAAATTGAGAGGATGCACATGGAGATAGACCAGTTACGTGGGCGACCTGTCTCTACCTACTCCCGGTAAGAAGGCTCCTCCCCCTCTCAAATTACATTAACTGGTTTAGTGCAGCCCAAAGTGGGTGTCGCTGTGGGTTAAACCACAGAGCCTAGGACTTGCCGATCAGAAGGTCAGCAGTTTGAATCCCCGAGACGGGGTGAGCTCCCGTTGCTTGGTCCCTGCTCCTGCCAACCTAGCACTTCGAAAGCACGTCAAAGTGCAAGTAGATAAATAGGTACCACTCCGGCGGGAAGGTAAATGGCATTTCCATGTGCTCCTCTGGTTAGCCATAAGCAGCATAGCCATGCTGGCCACATGACCTGTACGCCGGCTCCCTCAGCCAATAAAGCGAGATGAGTGCCGCAACCCCAGAGTCGGTCATGACTGGACCTAATGGTCAGGGGTCCTTTTTACCCACAAAATGTCAGGATTTCAAGAAAATCTTGTTAACTGGCTCCCAACGGGCTGAGTACCTGAAAGTCTTATTTGGTTCAGGGGGGGCTGGTGGGATAAAGCCCCTTTACTTGCATGGTGGAGACCCTCTTCCTGACCATCCTTGCTCATGCTTCTCATTTTTCCTGCTCCACGGAGGTCCCTGCCGGGCAGCGCGTTGGAGCTACGTTACTCCCAGGCGCCCACGCTGCCCGTGGGGGCCCACGTGGACCATTACAGCAGTGCTGGTGTGGCAAGACGTTCAAAGAAGGGCCGCTGGACCGTCAAGGACGAAGCTACCAAGGTATGGGGTTGGTGTCTAGGGCTGGGCATGAGCTCGGAAGAGGGAGGGGGCACCCAGAGCTGGCCCCATACATTTTGGCACGTGGGGCGAATCACAAAATGGCAGCCGCCACCCACCAGGGAAGAAGGGGGTGGCAGAAGATCAACATCAGGAACAAGGGTGGGAAGAGGCCATCGGCACCTCCCATTCACCAAGTGGCCGCTGTAGAGGCTGCATTGGGAGAAGGGGGCTGCCAAGGGGGTGGGCACATCCGGCCTCCAAGCAGTGTGCCACAGCTGTTGCTGCCACCATGGCAGCAGCTATGGGTGATGCATTCCTTGGAGGTTGGATCTGCTGCCCCTGCGAATCCTGCTGCCCGAGGCAGTTGCCTCACCTTGCCTCATGTGTGGGCTGGCCCCGGGGGCACCCAAAAAAAGAGAAAGGAGTTGGTTGGAGTCCTGGGATGGTACTAGCAAAGGTCTAGTGCTTGTATCACTGGATTAGAACACTTAACAGATTCCAGTTGCATTCCATTAGGAGCCACCATTGGAAATGGTGGCAAAGGAGATTTCCAGAGCAACAAAGCTATTGCTGCCATAAACTCTTCCAGGCCCTACTACCCTCCCTGCATCCGACAATTCATTTTCGTTCCTTCTTGAGCCTGTGATTTTCCATTCCCCATCTATGCCTTTTCAGTGGTGGCACTGAGAATGTGGGATGCCCTCTCCAAATGTGGAGGCCTACCAAACTCCTCCTATTTTAGTTTTTAGACATCCGTTAAGGATGTTCTTGTTCTGGTGTGCTTTTTAACATAGGATTTTTTTAGCCTGCTAATCTGCTGTATCCTGCTTTGAATGTGGCTGCTGTTTTAAAACGTCTGTTTACATCACGATTATCTTTTAACGTTTGTCCATGTCGCTGTTTTTTATGGCGTGTTTTTTATAAGGTTCTTTGTGTATGTGTGTGCATGATCTAAACAGAAAAGTGGGGCGGAAATAAAGAATAATGCCAGAATTAGACACTTTTGTGGATTCATGGCTTTAAATGGATAGTGCAATGGGGCCTGACAGGAAGAACTGTTGCTTGTGGCAGGGCAAATGGTATAGATCAGTAGTTACATTACTTTCTCCCCTCATATTATTTTTCTTTCTCTCTCTCTTTTCAACCTCAATTTCCACTGGACACCCGCCTGGTGAGTCTCCCTCTTGACATCGTTTTTGTGGCAAAGGCTGAGCTCACAGCAGTGCAGTGCCAGGGATCAGGGCAGGGGGTGAGGCGAGACAAGGGCCTTGGTTTCCATAGCAACCATGGTCCCATCACCACCCAACTCAAGTCTGTGCTGCCCCTGAGGGGTTTTGCTGTTCTCTCTGGTGGATATCCAAATATGTCACGGGGCAAATGGACCACACACCCTCCATTTCCCTTCTTCTTGCTTTTCCTCTGCAGGTGGAACCCTCTCAGGAGTGGGAACGCGCTCAACAGGCAGCTGGAGGCCCTTTCGAAGGCAGCTTGGACGGCTCGGATGAAGACGAGCGTGATCCTCTCTTCAGCTCAGCCGACCTGCTCTCCCCCAGTGGGCAGGCTGATGTGCAAACCTTGGCCATTATGCTACAGGAGCAGCTGGAAGCCATTAACAAGGAAATCAAGTGAGTTGTCTCGGCCCAGCCCTTTGCAGCAAGCCTGCGCAAGCATTTTCCCATGATGCACCTCTTTGCATTGCTGTCATTGAACGTAGATAATTGCATACCCTCCAACATTTCTCCAATGAAAATAGGGACGTCCTATTCCATAATAACAATAACAACAACCATAATGTTATTGTTTATACCCTGCCCATCTGACTGGGTTGCCCCAGCCACTCTGGGTTGCTTCCAACATATATAAAAACATAATAAAACATTAAACATTAATAAACTTCCCTAGTCAGGGCTGCTTGCAGATGTTTTCTAAAGCTTGTATAGTTACTTATCTCCTTGGCTTGGGGAGATACCCTCTAACATTTCTCCGATGATGATGGGGATGTCCAAAGCTAAAGTGGGACATTCTGGGATCACTTAAGAAACTGGGATGACTTCTGTAAATCTGGGACTGTCCCTGGAAAATAGGGACACTTGGGGAGGATCTGTGATAATGCCTTGTTTATTCCTAAATTTAGGGCATTTGATTCAGACAGAGTTGATTGGTGTTCAGGAAATTGATGAGGCTTGTTAGTCATGACAACTAACTTTTCATATTGATTTCAGTGGGACCTCAGGGCAAGTAACTTAGTCTGGATAAAACCTAGAAGTTTTGATTTTTGTTTAAAATGCACATTATTCAGGTCATCTTAGCGTAGATTACTGATACACTGCAAGTTGTTCTGTTCTTTATGGATGGTTAATAGAGCCTTGTTTACTTGTCCAGTTGCAGCTGGTTTTGCGTGTCTCTTCTGTACCTGTGCATTGTTGGCAAGCATTGAATTTCCTATCCGGTGCTGAATTTGGCAAGCACAGTGGGTGGCGCTGTGGTCTAAACCACTGAGCCTAGGGCTTGCCGATCAGAAGGTCGGTGGTTCGAATCCCCACGACAGGGTGAGCTCCCGTTGCTGGGTCCCTGCTCCTGCCAACCTAGCAGTTTGAAAGCACACCAGTGCAAGTAGGTAAATAGATACCACTCTGGCGGAAAGGTAAACGACGTTTCCATGCCCTGCTCTGGTTCGCCAGAAGCGGCTTAGTCATGCTGGCCACATGACCTGGAAGCTGTCTGTAGACAAACGCCGGCTCCCTCGGCCTATAGAGCGAGATGAGCGCCGCAACCACAGGGTCGTCTGCGACTGGACCTAATGGTCAGGGGTACCTTTACCTATACACACACACACACACACACACACACATTTATGTGGGAACCTGGATTAGGAAAGCACAATACAGTGGTGCCCCGCAAGACGAATGCCTCGCAAGACGGAAAACCCGCTAGACGAAAGGTTTTTCCGTTTTGGAGGTGCTTCGCAAGACGAATTTCCCTATGGGCTTCCTTTGCAAGACGAAAATGTCTTGCGAGTCTTGCCATTTCCCCCCCGCTTTCCCCCCCTTTTTCTAAGCCGCTAAGCCGCTAATAGCCTTTTAGCAGCTCAGCCGCTAAGCCTTTAATAGCCGCTAAGCTGCTAATAGCGCTAATCCGCTTAGCCGCTAATGGGGTTGCTTCGCAAGACGAAAAAAACACTAGACGAAGAGAATCGCGGAACGGATTCTTTTCGTCTTGCGAGGCACCACTGTAAATGAAGCAAAAGGTATTCAGATCCACTTTGTTTACTGAGTGAAGATTTCGAAAAGGGCAAGGTACAAAGAGAGAGAACAGATGGCCGTGGTTATCCCAAAATTGTTCACGCTTTCCCCCTCTGCTCTCCTTGCAAGGCTGATCCAGGAGGAAAAGGAATCCACAGAACAGCGGGCAGAGGAAATTGAGAGCCGGGTGACCAGCGCCAGCTTGGACGGGTCCCTGGGACGCTACCGCTCGGGCACTTCCATCCCTCCCTCTGTCACCAGTTCCACTCTGGCCAGCCCGTCTCCCCCCAGCAGCGGCCATTCTACTCCCCGCTTGGCGCCTCACAGCCCTGCTCGCGATGGAGAAAAAATGGTGTGTTGGGAGGTGGGCCAGGGACACGGTGGGCCTTGTCCGCTTCCTCTGTGCTTTCGATTTTGAAAGATTTCCCCTCAGGAATCTTTGTGTTGTGTGTGTTTATTCTTAAATGAGCACAGGAAAGCCCCTCGTTCACGAATGATTGGTTCGTCTGGTCCAGTATGGTGTCAGCAGAGCAGCCCTTCAAGGCCTCAGGTTGAGGGTCTTCTGGGCCTTTCTGCCAGAAATCCTTCAATTAACGGTGCCAGAAAATGAAGCCCACTCATGTTGTGTGCCTCAGAATAATAGATGCCTGGGTGGTGGCTGACCGAATGACTTGTGGGCTTCCTGGAGGTATCTGGGTGGTCATTGTACGAAACAGGGTGGTCCAGTGGCATAGCTGTCAACTGTCCCTTATTTGGTGGGAAAGTCCCTTATCGCAGCGCTGTGTCCTGCTGCTGTCCCTTATTGATGATGTCCCTTAAATTTCCTGGGTTTCAAAGGAAGCAGCTCCTCTCCCTCCCTCCCTGCCGGCCAGGGAGGAGGGAGGCTCCAACTGTGTTGCTTGGCTGCGTTGCTCACCCAATAAGGAACGACTGGGGGGTGGAGCTTGCATGCCTTGTGCCGATCAAATCGGCCGCGTTGCCTGGGGACTCGCCTTTGCTCAGCGCTTCCCAGCAGAGAGGTGACGGTGGTTTTCCTTGCTGCATCCCCTTTGCCGGGTTGCTGCGCTGTGGGAACCGCCGCTTGAGGCTTTGTTTTGGCTGCTGGCTGGGCTTTCTGCCTTTGGCTCAGAGGGGCTCAGAAGCCGAACACACCCGTGCCCTGAAAATCCCTTATTTTGGCTGCTGATCCCTTATTTTTGAGGCTGCTGGTCCCTTATTTTCAAATCTGTAAGTTGACAGCTATGTCCAGTGGGCCTGCTCATTTGTTATGGACATGAGTAGGAACGAGATTAGGAAAGTGAGGGTGAGGGGATGAGTGGGCTCCATAATGTTTGCAGCAGGCCGCTGAGGCAGAATCAGGTGCTCAGATAGTCAGGGGCACACACAGGTTCCTCAAGTGCTTTGGTTGGTTGCTGGAGTTCTCAGGTTGGGAGGGTCATAAAGTTGTCAGCCTCTCTTGGCTTGAGAGATTCTCAGACCTGCGGCTTTCCCTCTTCCCTTGCAGCGCCATGCAAGTCTCTCTTTTTTCTGCCTCTTTCCCCTCCCAGCAGAACCACGTTGCCAAGGAAGAGGGGCGAGGGTCCGAGGAGAAAGCCCTGGCCTTGTGCGAGCCCCCGGCTCCCTCCACCCCCCGCACGATGCGTCTTGAGCGCATGACCCAAGCCTTAGCTCTGCAGGCTGGATCCCTGGAAGACGGGAGGGACCTGAGGACCAGGTAGGTTGCAAGGGGTGAGACAGGACAATAGGGATCTTTTAACATATTATTCAGGCCACTTCTCCCAGTGTGAACATAACTGGAGCCTTTGGTCTTCCTCTGAGGTCTTCCTCCAGGTTCCCCCCTCTCATGGAGGTTTTTTTGCGGGGGGCAACGAAGGAGAGAGCCTTTTCAGTTGTGGCTCTCTTCCTTGTGGAATGCTCTTCCCAGTGAGGTCCACCTGGCACTATTATTATTATTATTATTATTATTATTATTATTATTATTACATTATGGGCTGTCCCGTGAATCCGCTGGATGAAATAGCGGAAAAACGTTGCCTCAGGAGAGTGAGGGAAATTCTCAGGGATGATTCACCTGCCCTCAGGCAGAAGATATAGAAGCATGATTAGTCGCACCAACAGGGTAAAGAACAGCTTCTGTCCGTGGGCTGTTAGGCTGCTGAATGAAAAGATAACAACAGGGCAACTAAATTTCAGGTTTGGTGGGTGTGCGTCAGTAAACGAGGGGAATAAAGACTAAGAGAGCTGAGTGGCGGGTGCTCGTGTAATTTCACTGTATACAAGTGATAATAAAGTATTTCTATCATTCATGTGGTTTTGGCGCCAGGTAAAAGCGCACCTCTTTTGATGGATTGTGCTTAGCAGGGGTTGGAGTGGTGAGGCCAATTGACAGGGAGGAAGATCTCCTTTTAGGTTCTCATTTTAGGGTAGGAGCCTCTCTGGAGGAGCAGGCCTTTCTTATTTAGAAATAATCCCTTTCTTATCCTGTCCATCCCTCTCTCTCTCTCTCTCTCTCTCTCTCTCTCCACCCATCTCCTTCCATTGTCACAGCCTGGGGTCTGATGCCACCAACAGCAGCCAGGACTCCTTGCACAAATCCACCAAGAAGAAGAGCATCAAATCTTCCATCGGGCGTCTCTTTGGCAAGAAGGAGAAAGGGAGGCTGGGGCAGTTGGGCCGTGAGTCCCCCTCGCTTGGTATGCCTTTCCCAACCCAGAGCCTCAGTTCTGTTGTCGTTCCCCCGCCCTCCTGTCCGCCGTCCACATCCACTTCCTGCCTTTCCCTTCAAAAAAGAATTAGTTCACATGTCCCTGTGGAACCAGGCATCAGGAACCTGTGGGTGGCCTTCCCAGTGTTGCTGGGTTGCATCTCCCATCATCACTAACCACTGACCCTGCTGGCCAGCTAAGGCTGATTGCAGCCTTGCCTGCTGTGGAACCTGGCTGTTCCAACTATCAGTATTAGGAACTCACAAAGAGACCTCTTGCCCCTCCACCTCCCCACAAGAACGTTGCTCCTCAGTAACCTCTACTTGTGCAATTATTATAGAATCCTTTAAGTTTCTAGTCCTCAAGATTTTTGAATCCAGTGTCGGGCCTGGCACCAAAAATTCCGCAGTCTTTTGGACACATGCCAGGCCTCGGATAACCATTGTGGCCTTTTGAGCTGGGCTTCGCTTGTGAGCGCCGCTGTTCTGTAGGTCTCAATCCCAGTCCGTGGGGCCCTTTCCAAATAATCAGCTCATCGCAGTTAGGAGAAGGATGCTGTTCCTTTGCACAAGGCTTCTGGAGGAGCTCAGGAGAGATTCACGCTGTCTACGAACTCTTCAAGAGTCTTCCATGTCATAAGGGACCATACATGCACACAACCTCTATGTCATGCAAAGGGCCTTAGCTGAGAGCAACACAAGAGGACTCGGTGGACAGCAGGTGGAGGGATCTGCTTGTTCATAGCAACCCCATTCTGCCCGCTGATGCATCTCTTGCCTCTGGACCCCAAAAAACCTTGGCACTGATGATAGCAAAAATGTCCAGGGATCCTCTGTCCCATAGTTGCAGCTCCCTCTGGCCTTTGATGCTCCCTTTGCCAGAACACTCAGAAATACTAACCCTGTTCAGGTCTTCTAAATCTCTCAGGCAGTGAGATAGAGCAGAGGTGAGCATGCTAGTTCAGCCTGTGCTTCACCATCGCCACCACTGACCATCCCTGTCCCCAAGTTGGAGGGATAACTTCTTAAGTGGAGAACATTCCTGTAATTCCACCCCCTGTGCAGTGGTGTAGCGTGGGTTGCCAGTGCCCCGGGGCTGCACAGAGAGGGGAGGGAAATGGATGGAGTACGCATGTGCATTCAACTGCCTAACAGCGTCCACATCGCCCGGGACATCACAGCCGCAGGGGTAAGAAAAGAAGAGTCGTTCCATTGTCTGAAGAGGTCACATTCTGGTTCACATGGAGAAGCTGTTCTCAACAGAGCCCAGTGACAGAAGCACACAGCTGCATTGAGGCAGTACCGAGTGTTGACATTTTGCACCTGGTGCAACCACCTCTGTGCCCCCATGCTATGCCACTGCCCCCATGCCATTTAGAACCCTTGGAAATCGGGGTTCTAGAACACACAGGGGAACCCACACGAGCTGGAAAGGCTCCCTGTGACAGATGTCATCCCTCCAACTTGGGGGCAACAACAGCAGTTGGGGGTATAGGGCAGAACTAGCACATTCACCTTCGCCACCCCAGCTCTCTCGCATGAGTCATTGGGAATGCCTGAATGGGGCTACTGCCCTCATGATGGAGGAGATTACCAGAGCAGATGGTCTAGGGTCCGCATGCCGTTCTCTGTTCGTAACTTGCTCATCTTTCTCCCTAGCTGGGACACCGTCAGACGAGATGTCGCCTGCGGATCCCCTGGGCCTTTCCAAGCTGTCGGGACCAGTGGACAAAGACCGCAGGAACAAAAAGAAGTGAGAATTGGGCTGGGGTAACTGACTGCAGGTGGCTGGGGTAGGGCAAAGGGGTGGGAGATTAGCAGGGTGAAAAGCTTCTCAGGATGTGGGCTTGCGAGACCTGGTTGCGCTGGTTTGCGGATGAGTCACACACACGCCACACACCTGCCAGCCTCAGCTTCCTGCCTGTGAATAGAGCGTGCGTGTAAGTTTTCACTTGGGCTTGTTGTGCTGATGAACAAGGACTATACAGTCGTGCCTCGGAAGTCAAACGGAATCCGTTCCGGAAGTCTTTTCGACTTCCGAAACATTTGAAAACCAAAGCGTGGCTTCTGATTGGATGCAGGAAGCTCCTGCAGCATTCGGAAGCTGTGAAAGCCCTGTCGGACATTCAGCTTCCAAAAATCGTTCAAAAACCAGAACACTCACTTCCGGGTTTCGATAGCTCAGGAGCCGATTTGTTTCGGAGTCAAGGCATTCGAGATCCAAGGTACAACTGTAATGTCGAACTCTTAAAATTCCAAAAGGAACGCTTGGAGCAGCCAAGTACATTTGCATTGATGGCTGGATTTGGGAAAAGGGGGAATGTGCAATTAATTATTTTTACTGCTTATTTCAACAATGTGTGTCTTTCTTAAGACCGTGGTTTTGAAGCGGCGCACAATCGTATTTCCAAAAAAAAAAAAAAAAGATACTTTAGAGAAAATCCAGTTAAAATTCATAATAGAAGCAGAAAAAGTTCCTTAAAATGCCCAGTAAAATAATTTTAAAATTCTTTGTCAAGCAACAGAAGTTCACACAATATGGAACACACAGCTCTGGGTACATACAGGCCGTAGGTCTGAGCCATGTGGGACAACCAATAGAGAATATATAATCGGATGTAGTCACCCCTTGGATTTTCAGATCTCCTTATTTCTTTTTCTCGCAGGCATGAGCTGCTAGAAGAAGCTTGCCGGCAAGGCCTGCCCTTCGCTGCCTGGGACGGGCCCACTGTTGTCTCGTGGCTGGAGGTAATGAGGAGGGAAGGGAATGCGGGCTGCAGCAGGGAGAGTTTAAAGACTGAGCTATGCGGATGGGGCAGAGAAGGGAGATATTTAATCATGGGACACAGAAGTGATAAACAGCCCCAGCCCCAGCCCCAGTCCCAGCAGAATCTTTTGGGCACCAGTTAAAGCATGGCTGAAGGCCTTATTCCCATGCTGCATGGCGGCAAACCCTGCTTTGCCACTGAACAGATACACTCCACAAAGAGATACAGCTAAATAACTGCTGGGGGTGGGGGGGCACTGGTGAAGGAAAAGGAGTTCGGGGGGAGCACACAGCCCCCGGCAGAGCGATCCCGGTGGGGTGCCATCGCAGCTGGCCCCCTCGCCAAGCTGGGCACCATGCCTCTGCAGGCAGCGCATCACACCCCTGGGATGCGCACCAGCCCCGGGCCCGCCTGTTCTCCACCCCCAGTGCCGGAGCATGAAGCTCCGCCATTGGGTGGGGGGCGGTTGTCAGGACTGCAGCACATAAGGAAATTCTGGATGCTCGCCCGCCTCCAGTCCCATTCCTGATTTCCCTCTCTCCTCTCCTCCAGTGCATGGCATTTACTTTTTTAAAAAGATCACTTGCAACTTCCAAGTATTGTACAGGCTGTGACCATTTTGCATGGGGGTTCTGTTCCCATGTGTGTTGGTGGAGCATGTATGAGCACTCCCCATTCCGCCCCGCTCCCATTCCTCCCCACTCCCCGTTCTGCATTCTTTCGGGTCCAGAATCAATGTGGCGATGGCACATCAACTGGACACGCCCAAAATGGTTGCTGCCTGTATTTTTCAGTAGGGCCAAACTGGGTGTACTCTTCACACGATTAGCAATTTTAGAGCAAACAGGAGGTGTGTTGAGCACAATTCACACTGAGACCCTAGTAGGGCCAAAATAGGTGAGTTTAGCCAGGACTCCTGCACCTGCCATTTTAATGATGATGATGCCATTGCTAGTTTTGGTCCTTAGTAGGTCAGTTATTTTCTTACTTTGTTTCTTAAAGGCAGACCTTTGCTAGAAGGGGAACTGTGGGAGTATCAAACAGAGCAAAAGAAGAGAGATTTTAGGGGTTCTGTTTTCCCCAGAGCTGCACAAGCATGGACTCTCCTTAACCACCTTTCCCCTCCCATTTGCTCTCGACAGCTGTGGGTCGGCATGCCGGCCTGGTACGTGGCTGCCTGCCGCGCCAACGTGAAGAGCGGCGCCATAATGGCCAACCTGTCGGACACAGAAATCCAGCGGGAAATTGGCATCAGCAACCCGTTGCACCGGCTCAAGCTGCGACTGGCCATTCAGGAGATGGTGTCGCTGACCAGCCCCTCGGCCCCCGCCACTTCCCGCACGGTGAGTGAGGGCCTGCTTCTTCCGTCGCCCTTTCTGTCGGAGGAGCCGAGACCAGTGAAGTTGGAATGGTTTCTTTCATTAAAAAATAATAATAATACTGATAGACATCTCCTTTCTTTTGCTGCTGCTCTTGCTAGTCTACTGGGAACGTGTGGATGACGCATGAAGAGATGGAATCTCTTACCGCCACAACAAAGCCAGTAAGTGGCGCAGCTGTGCGCATGCTGCCCTCGTGCCCGCTTGTTTCCCTGTTCCAGGATCTTACCTTGCTGTTCCTGAGCAGCGGGCAAGATAGCAGCGGCCTTCTTCCTCTGCACTGACCTTAGCCACCAAAACTGCTCCCTCTTCTTCTCTTTCCTGCAGTTGCCTCTCCCTCCTCTTCCTTCCAGAGGCGGCGTTTAGGGCATTGTGGTGGCACTGGGTATGAAGCTTAGGCAGGCACCTTCTCAAAGCCTGGTAAATGCTCACCCGGCTTTGGGAAGAAGGTGTGAGGGCTCTGACAGGACCCTAGACCCCTTCTACCTCCTTCCCAAAGTCAAGAAAGCATCTACAGTGGTGCCTCGCAAGACAAAATTAATCCGTTCCACGAGTCTCTTCGTTTTGCGGTTTTTTCGTCTTGCGAAGCACGGCTATTAGCGGCTTAGCGGCTTTAAGAAAAAGGAAACAAACTCGCAAGAACTCGCAAGACGTTTTGTCTTGCAAAGCAAGCCCATAGGGAAATTCGTCTTGCAGAACGACTCAAAAAACGGAAAACCCTTTCGTCTAGCGAGTTTTTCGTCTTGTGGGGCACCACCAGGCTTTGGGAAGGAGCAATGAGGGCTCTAGGACCCTGCCAGAGCCTTGTGCCTCCTCCCCAAAGCCTCCAGGCTTAAGCCAGTGCCGCGAGGGCTGTGGGAAGGGCATCAAATGTTGGCCTTGTACAGGGTGGCATATTACCAAGGTCCTCCCATGCAGCTTTCTCTGCTGCCTGCTGCCTTTGGGGTCATCTAGCTCCAAGGAACTCTGCGGACCCTTCCTCCGAGTGGGGCATTGTGAGCAAGGCGGCCTTGGGAGAACGCCTGCGCCGCTGCCACGTTTGCGGCAGCAGATACTGTTAAAAAGCTTCAGAGCGATAAACTTTTGAACAGGCACTCCCAAAGGCCACCATGCCCACACATGCCTTGCTCTGCTGAAGGCCCCTTCCTCATGTTAAGATGCAGCTGAGTGACACAGACAGCACTTTAGCAGCCTGGCAGCTCCTTTGCTGCAGTGGCAGGGCAGCAGCAACACTCTAAGAGTCCTAAGGAGAGCAGCTGCGGAGCTGGAGATGGTGGCTGCTTTGCCAAGGGTGTTGGTGGTCAGCTGGCTGGCCGGCCAGCAAAAAGGTGGTGGGCAGGCAGTAGAAGCAGACAGGTTAGGTGGGGACACCAATCTGCTGCCTCTTCCACCTGCCGCCTAAGGTAAGAGGCTCAACTCAACTAATAGGTGGGCCGGCCCTGTATGTGAAATATGATGGCGCTTGTATGCACCTGGGAGGTCAGAAGATGGCGCTTGCCTATTTCTCTGAGGACTTACTGGGTCCTTCTTGCAAGCGGACGCTATTTATCCCTTTCTCTCCTTCTGTTGTTTTTGCAAGAGTGGGTTCTGTGCTTCCTTCGTGCATATAGAGGCAGGTGGAAGGCACTTGACGATGGCACTCTAGCTTATTTCTGGTACAAATCCAGCGGGTGGACAGATCAGAAAAGTCCATAGTCCTTTCGTGTTGCCACTTTTAATGCTTGGGTGCGCTTTTTAAATAAAGACAGCTTGTAGGGAGCTGGTGGTGTGTATGTGTGTTGTGAACAAACAGAATGATCCCAAAATATGATCCTAGCTGTATTTTAAGTGATGCAACCTATTCTGCCAAATGAAGACTCCAGTTCATTCTTCTGCATGTGCAGAGTAGGCCTGATCTGAGATCAAGTGAGAAATTCTTAACTCTTGAGCTGTCAGTGGTCACATGTGCAAGCAAACTGTGTTTAACCCTGCCTTAACAATTCCTTTCTGCTTTCCTTCCTGCTTTCCATTTAACCTCTATCCAGGAGACAAAAGAAATCAGCTGGGAGCAGGTATGGGAGGGATCTGCACAATAGCCCTCTCTGTCCTTGCATGCCTACTTGTCTGTGGAAGAGGAGGGGCTGCGGGTTGTTTTTTGTTGTTATTGGAGAGCGTAGGGCTGGGGGAATCTGCAATACTTCAAGAGAATGGGTGGTTCCCCCATTGTGTAGATTCTCCTGTTTCAGTCTCTGGCAGAACCAACAGTTCCAATGAATTCAATGGCCATCTCCCCTTAAACCAAAAGGACTTCCCATTGTATAACGCATTCAAGGATGTTCTGTGCGATGTTTTGTTTGAACAAAATTATTAGCACAGGTGCCCTGTGTTCCATGTCTATTTAATCCGGGATGGCTGCGTTTTGGGACAGAGAAAGAGCATTACAGATCTGTTTGCACGCTTTCCTTTCTTTTGTCCCTCTCATTGTATTGCAAGTATCCGCCTGCTCTTTCTATGCTTTCTGGAAGAGGCCATCTGTGATGAGATGGCGCAAGAGCTGCTTCACACACCACCAGGGATAGGGGGAAAAGTGGGGGATCCAAGACACATAATACTCTGCTTTGGGGAATGGGTGATAGGGGAACTTGCCCATCTGCCCTGGGCTGAGATGCGCAAGTTCCAACAGTGCCCAGAACCCACGCCATCTTGTCGCAAGAAAGAGGGGCATGTTCCGCTCTCCGGGAATCACACCAGAATTTAGGGAAAGCACTAATGTCTGTTGCTCAGGGATCTGCTACCTTCGTTGCACTGTAATGTCCGCTAAGTCTATAAGCTGGGAAAAAAGGGGATTAGAGAACCAATGGATTTGAACAGCAAGTGGGAAGAAATTTTAGTTTCCCCATTTTTAGGGTGGAGAGAGGAGGGCCTGATGGGCTTTTTGCTGCTTTCCTACCCCCCCCCCAAAAAAAGTTTGCACTTTTTAAATTCCTGGTTCCATTTTGTCCTGAAATGGGAAAACTAATGCTAAGGACATGTGCAGCAACTTTGCTGCAGCTGGGCAGGTCTAGGTCCAGTACAGTATCTGGCTTGGGAGGCTCCCTAAGGGCCATTATTAACAGCAACAGCAATAATAATAATAGTAATAATAATGATGATGATGATGATTATGATGATGATATACCACCCTTCACCCCAAAATCTCAGCTTATTGGTTCCATGAAAGAAAGGCAGGTTATAAATGCAGTAACTAAATAAATACAATACAGTAGATGCACAGAATTCAGAAGGAAGGGTTGTCCTGAGAGAGGTGAGGGGGGATTGGGGAAAGGTTTGTAACTGTGTTAATTAAACAAGCATCGCTAATTGCTCAAAGCCCTAAACATACATAGTGTGTTTGCGTGTGCGCACCTCCCTGTCATTCACACGGTCTTCCTCCCTTCTCTGTTTCCAAAGATCCTGGCATACGGTGACATGAACCACGAGTGGGTGGGGAACGACTGGCTGCCCAGCCTGGGCTTGCCCCAGTACCGCAGCTATTTCATGGAGTCGCTTGTCGATGCCCGAATGCTGGACCACCTCAACAAGAAGGAACTGCGGGGCCAACTCAAGATGGTGGACAGCTTCCACAGGTGAAGAAGGGGAAGCCAAGGGCTTGATTGAACCTTCTTGTCAGGTTAGGGTTAACTGTGCAGTGAGGTCCGAGTCTAGTCCGAGGTGCGTTATGGAGGCTGTCCGTCAAAGCTGAAGCTGGATCCAAGGCAGGGAGTCGGGTGAGGTCAGGAACTCTGGCAGAAGAGCAGAACAGGGTGCAGGCAGGAACAGGCTACCAACAATGTTGCTCCAGCAACCTGGGACTGGGGCTGGCTGGCTTTTATCTGCCCCGAGGCATAGGGCAGCCCCGGTCCACAGGTGACTCGTCTCTCCTGGCCTGGAGGCGAGCACTCCTCCTGCGGGAACTTAGTTCCCTCCGCCTCTCTGCCCTGAGCATCTGCAACCTCAGCTTCCCCTGACGGGGCTGAGACTGGAGCACCTGCAGGCAATGGGTCCTCCATCCCCTCAGGAGCCAGAGCAGATTCAGCTGGTGCCTGCACCTGAGGATCTAGCACAGGTGAGGACCCTTCAGGCTGAAGCCCCAGCCCTGGCTCAGCTGGTTCTGGAGGCGGGGACTCCTGTGCAGGCTGGGATTCCTCAGGTTCAGCCTCCGAGTCCGAATCCCAGGCCATCACACTTCTGCAGATAAGATGTGTGCATCCACATTGAAAATGTAGTTTTACAGAGCAGTCCTGCACCTGTTTCCTCAGGAGCAAGGGCCTACTCCTGCACGAGAGAGCAGCCTTTGTTGCGAATAAAGCTTCCTGTAATGGCTCCACACACCCGCTGCAGGGGATTCTGGGTAGGGCGAGGGTGCTGAGAATAGCGATAAGCAAGCACCAAAGTGCCCACCTCCCAAATTGTTTTCTGCCTTCTGCATTAAAACCTAAAGCTTGGAAGCTTTCAAGGGGGTTCTCTGAGCATTTGACAAGAGGCTGAATTTGAACCAAGAATTTGTCCACTCATAGTCCAAACCTGGAATCGGAATGTGGCACCCACGGGTGGCTACCAAGGCCCCAGCTGATGCCTGTGGCACTTCAGAACCCCAAACAGTACTGGGCAGCCAGGTGTGGGAGCCGCCATTTTCATTTCCCACAATTCCCTAGAGCAAGGATGTGCCAGGGGCATTGTGGGAAATTTAAATGGCGACTCCCTGTTCTGTTGTACCCAGTACTGAACAGAATGTTGCTGCCGCTGCCACCAGATAAACCCACCAAGACAGGAAGGAGTCCAGTAAAGGGGGCCCCTTCAAACCCGGAGCCAGCCCTGTCTTAGCCACTCCACTTATATCTCAGGTGTAACCTCCGCTTCTATCTGTCTCAGGGTGAGCCTCCATTATGGGATCATGTGCCTGAAGCGGCTGAACTATGACCGGAAGGAACTGGAGAGAAGACGGGAAGAGAGCCAGAACCAGATCAAAGGTAGGCATGGAGCAGGAAGCAAAGGCCCAGGGTCATCCTCAGGCGGTGTCTACAAATAGTGTAAATTGGGACAGCGACAAAGGGATTGTGGGGTGTGCGGGACTGAGCTTGCTGCTAAGCCTGCCTCCTCTTCCCCCCCCCTTCCAGATGTGATGGTGTGGTCCAACGAGCGTGTGATGTGCTGGGTGCAAATGATTGGGCTGAAGGAGTTCGCCAACAACCTGATCGAAAGCGGGGTGCACGGGGCCCTCCTGGCCCTGGACGACACCTTTGATTGCAACGATTTGGCCTTGCTGCTGCAGATCCCTACCCAGAACACACAGGTGAGGAGCAGGCCTGGGGAGGCCGGATGAGGGAAGGGGAGGACTGAGGGGAGCCTGAGGGACGAGGCAAAATGAAGGGTGCCTCGTGCAGGGGCAAATCCTGGAGCCTTGGCTCTACCTGGCCTTGGACCTCTCTTAGGTGCCTTCAGTGTGGCAAGTGGGTTCCCCTGACTTAAGAGAGACACACACACGGTCCCTCTTCATCAGTCTATGTGGCAGATATGGGGAACACCGGTCCTATAAAGGATCTAAACTGTCTCCCAATACGTTTCCGAGCACAATTCAAAGTCTTGGAAAGAGTGGGAGGGAAGTAAAAGTAAAGATATATAGGGATTAAACAACCTGGAGGAATTTGGATATGTTAGGATATAGTTCCGTTCCACCTTAAAAGGATCAGGCATAACTATTGTGTGTCACATGCCTGTTTACTTCCAGCACAGTCTGCTGGGAACTTCCGTTTATATATTGCTTTTGCTATGTTTCTGTTCGCTGGACACGAAGGGAAGCAGACATGTTTTTCCTTTGTTCCTGAACTATGCTGAATAAATGCCTGTAAATAATGCTTACACACGTCTCTGTCCGCCACTTCCATTGTGAGAAGTTATTCACACTGCTGATAAGAGCGTGCCGAGTCTCTAAACGTATCTGAGGCTCGTGTCGCTGATTGATGCTGTACCGGGGATCGCCCGGCTGCCGGCCGGTGGCTGGAGCCAGCTGGGGGCCTGCCAAATGCCCCCGTCTCCCCGGCAGTATCCCAACAGCCATTATTATTATATGTCCATGTTTTACATTTATGTTTTGTTTTATGCATGAATGTAACAGAGTATATATTGATGGCAAGATATAACAGAAAAGCAAATAAAAAATATTATATATTTAAAAATTCAAAGTCTTGGTGCTGACCTTTAAAGCCCTAAACTGCCTCAGCCCAGTATACCTGAAGGAGTGTCTCCAACCCTATTGTCCACCCGGGACGGCCTTCTGGCAGTTCCCTCCCTGCGAGAAATGAAGTTTCAGGGAACCAGGCAGAGGGTCTTCTGGGTAGTGGCACACGCCCTGTTCTTCTTCTGTTGCTGAACTACAACTCCCATAATCTCTAGTCTATTGGCCATGCTTGCTGGGGCTGATGGAATTGGAGTTCAGCAACACCTGGAGGGTGAAAGCTTCCCCACCCCTTCTCTATGGGACCATAATGCCCTGGCTAATGAGATCCCTGGACGCAGGTGGCTCTGTGGGTTAAACCACAGAGCCTAGGACTTGCTGATCAGAAGGTTGGTGGTTCGAATCCCCGTGACGGGGTGAGCTCCCATTGCCTGGGTCCCTGCTCCTGCCAACCTAGCAGTTCGAAAGCACTCCCGGGTGCAAGTAGATAAATAGGTACCGCTCTGGCGGGAAGGTAAACAGTGTTTCCATGCACTGCTCTGGTTCACCAGAAGCGGCTTAGTCATGCTGGCCACATGACCTGGAAGCTGTACGCCGGCTCCCTCGGCCAATAAAGCGAGATGAGCGCCGCAACCCCAGAGTCGGCCACGACTGGACCTAATGGTCAGGGGTCCCTTTACTAATGAGATCCCCAGACCCTGTTTCTCCTCTCCTTGATGCTTTGCGAGCAGAGAAGGGCCAAAGGAGACCAGTACCTTGTGGAGCAGTTGCAAGGAGTGAAGCTTGAAAGGACTTCCTTCTTTTTTTCTCTCAATTTAGGCTCGGCAGATGTTGGAAAAGGAATTTGGGAACCTCATCACTATGGGAACCGACCGGCGGCTGGATGAGGTGAGCATCTCCTCCTTCCAGAGCCTCTGGCTTGGTGAGGTGTTCCAACCTTCGTTCTGTGCACCCACCCATGCGTTCTTCTTTCTCTGCTTCACAGGACAGTGCCAAGACCTTCAGTCGTTCCCCATCTTGGCGGAAGATGTTCCGGGAGAAAGATCTCCGTGGTGTCAGCCCCGACTCGGCCGAGATGCTGCCGGCCAATTTCCGCACAGCCTCCGTGGCCTCCATTACCTCACCCGGGGTGCAGCTTCGTAAGATGCAGCCAGAGGGTACATGAGCCGCTGTGTGGAGAAATCCGCTTCCCTTGCGCAGGGGCTTTGTATGGGCAGAGCTGGGTTATGAGCCAGAGCGCAAAATATCAGGAGCAGGCCTTGTGGTTCTTTCCCCACTATTTAGTTATTTGCATATTAAAACGCCTGTGCTGTCTTTCAGTATAAATCTCCTCAGGTTTACACGATATAAATAAAACAAACATTAGAAAAACAGTGACAAAATTAAGCTCTTGCTGGTGTCAGCAATGTCCGTTTCCGCCCCCCCCCCCCCCGCATTTTCAGGCTGCCAGAAGGCGAGAAGAATGCTTGTGAACATGTGTAAAATGATTCACTCACTACTAAACCGTTATCCCTGTACCTCCTAATCCTTGCTCCATAACCCCAGTTCTAACCACTGTACCGACTAAGTTGGCCCATTCTTCGTCTTCTTCTTTGCAATGAAATTTTTATTTTCCAAAATAATAGAACTTTTAACAGTGACTGCATACAAGTCTAGTTATATAATCTCCACACAAAAATTGCACTGAGTTTTTAGTGTCATTTCAAGCATATTCTTAAGACATTAGTGGTTAATATAGCCTCTCCGCAGACAAATTTGAGTAGTTGGTGGAAGAGAAATGTTATCTCCTTCCCTTACATATGAAAAGAAAGGAGACCAGATTTCAACAAAGGTATCTCTCTTTGCACCTTTTGCTACCCTTCCAAGCCCAGTTAGCTGCTCTAAGATAGCCAGTTCCCAATTGTTGCCAGTCCATTCTTCATTCCCACTGGAATCGCAGAGACTTTGATTTGACGTTGATTTTAACGGGACCAAAGTGTGAAACAGTAGGCTGCATTGGAGTCAACAAGGTCACTGGTGCTCGTAGGGTTGCCGTGTGTCCTCTTTTTCCAGGACACGTCCTCTTTTTCAGGGGTAAAATTTCCGTCCAGATGGATTTGTTAAATTTGCCAAAATGTCTCTGGCTATACTTTCTGGATGAGACATAGACACAACTGGTGGCTGAAGACTTGCTTTCTTCTTCTCTTCTCCTGCCTCCCTCAGCAATATATCACAACTTCTATAGCCTACATAGAGTAGGGCAGGCATAGGCAACCTTCGGCCCTCCAGATGTTTTGGACTACAATTCCCATCATTCCTGACCACTGGTCCTGTTAGCTAGGGATCATGGGAATTGTAGGCCAAAACATCTGGAGGGCCGAAGGTTGCCTATGCCTGGAGCAGGGGTATTTGGAATGAGTGTTTGTCATAGCACCCTCTTTTGCTCTTCAGAATATGGCGAACCTACATGTAGGAAAACTGTTGGAGGGTGTACTTTTCAGCGGTGCAGGGTGGGGTGGTAGGAGAAGAGATGGGCGGGGACAGTTTCCTGTGCCAAAACACCCAGGTACTGCACATGTGGCCATCCAGTATGTGATCTTTGAAAGCTCAGGAGCGTGAGGGCCGTTTTGTTTGATCTCTTTTGCTTTTTGTTTCCTTCATCTCCCCACCCTGGTCCTTTCACAGGGAACTCATTAGGTAGCCAACGGGCAGACAGTATGTCAGTGCGAACGTACTCCTGTTAACGCCAAGATGACTAAGGTCAGTATGTGCTATTGCTCTTTGACACTGACTACATACCTGCAGGGTACTGTGAAAACAACACGTGCTGAACCAGAGTCTCGTGCTCAGGAGCTAATGTGGTGTAGCACTTAGCGCATGGGTAGGCAAACTAAGGCCCGGGGCCCGGATCTGTCCCAATCACCTTCTAAATCAGCCTGCGGATGGACCAGGAATCAGCATGTTTTTACATGAGTAGAATGTGTCCTTTTATTTTAAATGCATCTCTGGGTTATTTGTGGGGCCTGCCCGGTGTTTTTACATGAGTAGAATGTGTGCATTTATTTAAAATGCATCTCTGAGTTATTTGTGGGGCATAGGAATTCGTTCATCCCCCCCCCCTTCGAAATATAGCCCGGCCCCCCACAACGTCTGAGGGACACTGAACCAGCCCCCTGCTGAAAAAGTTTGCTGACCCCTGACTTAGCATATCCGATGTAGACCAGGGAGACCTGGATTCAAGTCTCTCCTCAGTCCCAGAGAACCCAGGGCCACCTTGGGCCAGCCTAACCTGCCTTCGAGGCTTGTTGTGAGAATAAAGGGGGTGGAGGACAAGTCCATACAGTGGTACCTCGGGTTAAGAACTTAATTCATTCTTGAGGTCTGTTCTTAACCTGAAACTATTCTTAGCCTGAAGCACCACTTTAGCTAATGGGGTCTCCTGCTGCCGCCGCACCACCGGAGCACGATTTCTGTTCTCATCCTGAAGCAAAGTTCTTAACCCGAGGTACTATTTCTGGGTTAGTGGAGTCTGTAACCTGAAGCGTATGTAACCTGAAGCGTATGTAACCTGAGGTACCACTGTATATGGTTACAAGGAAGGTGATTCTAACTAAACATCAGGAAGAACTTTCTGACAGCAAGAGCTGATAAATAGTCGAACAGACTGCTTTGGGAGGAGGTGGGCTCTCCTCCCTTGGAGATTTTTAAGCAGAGGTTGGATGGCCATCTGTCAGGGATGCTTTAGTTGAGATTCCTGCATTGCTGGGGGTTGGTCTAGATGACCCTTCCAACTGTACAGTTCTACAATTCTGTGATTCTGTGGTGCCACAAGTCCTTTGGAGGAGTGCTAAAAGCAAATCTGATAAAATAACAAAACACCCCCTCTTCCAGAACTGTCTCCAGAGTCCATTTCGCAGCTGCTGGGACAATCATTAAAGGAGAGGAACAGGCTGGCGATGGCAATAATAACAATAATTTATTATTTGTACCCCGCCCATCTAGCTTGGTTTCCCCAGCCACTCTGGGCGGCGTCCAACAAGGATTAAAAACACATAAAAATGTCACACATTAAAAACTTCCCTGAACAGGGCTGCCTTCAGATGTCTTCTAAGTTGTTTATTTCCTTGACATCTGATGGGAGCGTGTTCCACAGGATGGGCGCCACTACCGAGAAGGCCCTCTGCCTGGTTCCCTGTTACCTCACTTGTCGCAGTGAGGGAACCGCCAGAAGGGCCCTCGGCACTGGACCTCAGCGTCCGGGCAGAACGATGGGGGTGGAGACGCTCCTTCAGGTATACTGGGCCGAGGCCGTTTAGGGCTTTAAAGGTCAACACCAACACTTTGAATTGTGCTCAGAGTCAGCGAGTCAGTGAGGGTGAAATAGCGTCGGGAGTGTGTTGGTGGGGGCCAGATCGAAAGAGCTGGCAGGTTGGCTTAGGCCTGCAGGCTAGGGGCTCCCCGTGGCTACTTCAGGAAAAGGAAACTACAGTGGTGCCCCGCAAGACGGGGTGCTTCGCAAAACGAATTTCCTATGGGCTTGCTTCGCAAGACGAAAATGTCTTGCGAGTTCCTGCAGGGTTCCCCCCTTTTTTCCCAAGCCGCTAAGCCGCTTAACAGCTGATCCGCTAAGCCGCTAATAGCGCTAATCCGCTAAGCCGCTAATGGGCTTGCTTCGCAAGACGAAAAAACCGCAAGACGAAGAGACTCGCGGAACGGATTCTTTTCGTCTTGCGAGGCACCACTGTAGCCGGTTTTGTTTCTGTAGTGCGGATGCCCATGCGTTCTGCTCCCGAGGCAATAACACCACTTCTCCTTCCGCGCAGATGCTGCCCTCGAGTGCATCTGGCCGCCACCACGCCTTGGACAGGAGGACTCCCCGCCACCGCTGCCCCTTCCTCATCGTGTGCGCCAATCCAGACTGTGAGGAGCCGCTGCTGTTGTAAAGAAGGAGAAAACGGGACCACACGCGGGGAGGCTGGAGAGAGGGGAGGAGAGGGAACGAACAAGCTCCCCCCAACCCAACCCACCCCTTCCTCCTAGCAGCAGTGGCTTGTGCTCTCTGGCAAACCCTCGAAGGACTCAAGCTGAGGAGGGGGCCCGTCCCCAAATCCGCAGGGGCTGCGGGCCTCCGCCTCTGGTGTCTATTTATTGTTGTTGTCGTTCCAGGCAGGGGCATAAGAATGTGAAAGAAAATATACGCCCAGCCCTGCCCACCCCACTCCTCCACGGCAGCCTGAGCTTCTCCCTGTCCTGATTCCCAGTAGATCCAGGGGCATCTTGCATCGCTCTCCCGTTGCCACGGATCGGACCGACCAGCCCACCTGCCCTCCTTTTCCCTGCCCTCCTAAGGGTGCTAAACGTCCATTGGCACTTTTTTTTTTTTTTTACTTTTGGGTTTTTTCCTGCCTTGCTGCTACAAAGGTGTACCTGGTTCAAGCTCGCGGCTGCCGGGAGGAGGTTGCTGCTCACGTTAACTCTCCTGCCCCTCTTCTCAACAAGAGCGGGGAGAACAGGGTGGAGGGTGGGTGGGTGGCGGCGCAGGTACGAGGGGGGCCTGGTTTCCCTCCTTCCGCTCCGGACTCTCGACTCACGGTGGGAAATGTGAAGAGAAGCGCTGGCGGAGAAAGAGCCAGGGCCCACCCGCAGCAGCTACTTGAATCACAGAGCTCTGAGCTGGGGACGCTTGTATACTTTGCCGCTGCCTTTCCCCAGAAGCGGCTGCATCTCGGCACAGGCGAATCCCCTTTTAAAAACAGCTTCCCTCTTTTTCTCGCCCGGCCACCAAGATGGAGCTCCCTTTCCCTCCGAGAGGACGGGTCTGGGATTTTGATGTGAGATGGAGAGGGCGGTGGGACACCCCCCCCCAAAAAAAACCCCACCTATCCGCACTATAATCCCAGCTCAGTAGTAGGACAAAACTGTATCCTGGCCAACCGTGGGCTCTTTTCTTTCTTTCTCTTAAGAGGAGCAGGGAGTCAGGATTTCAGGTTTGAGATGCTCAAACCGGAAGAGGGAGATCTCAGCCTGGGGTGGGCAATTGAACTCTGGACTTTTACAATATGGCACACAGACCCCCCCACCCCTCCCTCCAAGACTACTGTAATATAAGAGTTGTATTTTCTGTGTATATCTGTGCTGTGGAATCTTGTGTAAATTGAATTTCTTTTTCGACCGCCGTTACAAGTTCTCTGTTAATTTAATAATGTGTCCTTCTCTCCCCCCCCACCCCCTCCCCCCTGCACGCCCATAATTTTCATTTGATGTTTATATTTTTCTGCCTTTTTTGTTTTTGTTTTTTGTTTTGTTTTTTCCTGGGGAGGGTGTGCGGGGGTGAGGGGCAAACCAAAGGGGGTTGTTTTGCATGAAAGTGGGGAGGGTGGGGGAGAAGAAGAAGAAAAAAAATACAACCTTGACAAAAAAAAATAATTAAAAAATAATTCTTATCAGGGAGATTGTGAGGGGCAAACAGGAAGCGGAGGTGGTGCAGAAGAGATCTTCTGCTCGCCTCAACTCCAGTTTACCTCAAGGTGAAGGGGAGAGGATGGCGGGGCCGCAGTGGAGCCAGTGATAGGAAATGTTTAAAAAAAGAAAAAGAAAAAAAAGTTTGAAAAGATTTTCTAGGATCTCCAGATTTTTGTTTAATTCGACAGCAAGCACTCTCTTCTGAACAACAAGGAACATTGCCTGAAGAATCTCTCTCTCTTACTGGGCAACACCCCCAAAATGTCGTTCTCTGTCTTAGTCTTTATAAGCCCCCAAATCTTCTATATTCTAGCGAGACCAGCCAAAGTCTGAGGGAAATTACTACAATGCTGAGACTGCGATCCGAACCCTACTTGCCTGAGAGTCAGACCTGTTGAATTCAGGGCAGCCCTAACTATTTGTCTACTCGGAAGTAAGTCCTGGTAGCAACCACATTTGGTGTCCCTGCAATGCCACCAATGTCGAGCCCGCGTTGTGATTTTTAACAGTGCGATCCTGACATTGGTGCAATATTGCCCTCGTTTGGGGGTATCCCGAATCCTGGCTACAACTTGCATTTGGTTGCCTAATGAACTTCGTTTGATTTGTATCCTACCTCCAGCTGCCATAACTGAACCACAGGATTGCATTATAACAAAAAAAAAGAACCTGAGATGGGGTTTTGTGGCCAGGAGTTTGGTTCAATTCTCAGCGGCTCCCATTGGAGTCTATAGGAACGAGTTCCATTTTAGGACACAGCTGAGGGTGCAAAAAACAACAACACCCAGGAAACTGGCTTGAACTTTTCCTCGCTGTGTTCCTGAACAAACACCTTTATTTCCTCCCCTGTTAATGAACAGCTGCTTTTCCTTTCCTATTTGGATTTAAACAAAAATAAAATTGTGCCCTTGGAAACCGCATCACCACAGGAGCAGAAAATAGCCTCCACTGCCAATGTACACAGATATGCTTTGCAAAAAAAAAAATCCGCCCCAGGCTTTTTGCACCTTAAAGGCCCCTCCCTTTGCAACCACTCCTCTGTCCATAAGGAAGTTGAGTGTTTTGCCAGGTTTTCTATAAAGAGAAGTTATTGGGTTGTGTCTGCCCAATCCATAGCAAGTCTTCTGGGTCCATGGATGTGTGGTCTGCTTAGTTAGGGAGCATTTGCAGGATAATTGGGGCAACAAGCCATTGCAGCGTGTCTCCATCCCCCTGCCAGGGCCTTGCACGGATCCAAGATCCTATGGGAAGGAGGGAGAGGGAGGTGACTGAAGCCAAAATCAGCCCAGATTTTGAGACTTCTGGGGAAACATCAGCACCTGGGAACCTATTTGAACTGACACAAGTAACAAAGGCGAATGAGCTCACATCCCACAGAACCTAAATTAAATTATCGAGAGGAAGGTGTGTTCACATTTGCCTCTTCAAACAGCGGTAGTTTACTCCTGTGTTAACTTCAGCGGTAAAGTACCTCACTTCTGTACTATTCACACTAAGGGGACTAAAATGCGGCACTTCCTGGGTTCTCCCATATTCTCCTGCCTCGCTTGAGTGAAGAATTTGTCTTGCCTTTGAAAAAGACATTCGATTTGGCAATTTTTGTCGGTGGTGGGGCAGGAATGGTGCTGTTATTCCTGAATTCTTTGCCCTGCCTCTTTCAAAGAGCAGTAAATCCACCAATGAATCTTGCAGTAGTCCCATTTATTATCGAACTCCTGGTTAAGAGTGAGCCAGAGAGACAGCGATTAGGATCGCACCCAGCAATTGACCCACCAGTGTGGAGGGATTCTGTGTATCTCCAATTTAAAAAGCTGACCATTTTTTTATCATCTGATTTTTTTTTGGGGGGGGGGAGTGCAGAGACATTGGAATCAAGCCATTAAAAGGGGGAGGGGGAGCTAGCAGAGGAAAATATTTTGAGAAAGCTGTTAAAGTCAGCAAAGGACTGCCTATTATTGCCTATAACGAGTGAATGAGAATATTGAGATTTTAACAAGGATACAGCATTGTATGTCTGGAACTCAGTGCTTTTTTTCTTAAAAAATGTTTAGGGGGTACTCTCACTTTCCTACTTATACTGACATACTGCCCCTCAATGAGGCCAATCTTAGATTCACAAAATGTTTAGGGGTATGCGTACCCCTGCATACACCCAGGAAAAAAGCACTGCTGAAACTAGAGTGTTACCTCTGGTTAAGAACTTAATTTGTTCCGGAGGTCCGTTCTTAACCCGAAACTGTTCTTAACCTGAGGTACCACTTTAGCTAATGGGGCCTCCCGCTGCCGCTGCACGATTTCTGTTCTCATCCTGAGGTAAATTTCTTAACTTCAGACACTTCAGGTCACACACACTTCGGGTTACAGACTCCGCTAACCCAGAAATAGTGCTTCTGGTTAAGAAATTTGCTTCAGGATGAGAACAGAAAATGTGCTCCGGCGGCAGCAGGAGACCCCATTAGCTAAAGTGGTGCTTCAGGTTAAGAACAGTTTCAGGTTAAGAACGGACCTCTGGAATGAATTAAGTACTTAACCCGGGGTACCACTGTACTACTTCCGGGTTAGCAGAGTCTGTAACCTGAAGTGTTTGTAACCCGAGGTACCACTGTACAACTGCCATTTAAGGCACTCTTGTACCACTTCAACAGTCATGGCTTCCCCCAAAGAATTCTGGGAGTTGTAGTTTGTTTAGCAATGACTCCCTCTTCCCAGGGAAATGTAGGGTTTTTTGGTTTTGTTTTAGGGGATTAGGAGGGTCTCTTTAAGAACTCTTAACTTAAAGATCCTAGGATTCTTTAGGGAGAACGATGACAGGTAAAGTGGCATAAGAATGTGTTGAGTGCGTGGTGTTCAGAATTCCACTCCAGGCAGTTGTGGGATAGCAGTGTCTGGGGAAAAGAAGCAAAGAGATAAAAACTGGGGAAGGGAACATATAGAGGGGAAGAGCCTGGGGGGAGATGGGTTAATTACAACCTTTCTAAAACCTGGAGAAATACCCTCCCATTCAGCCCAATTTCTCACTCTACCATAGGTAGAGACTTTGGAAAAAACAGCAACTATGTCGGAAGCAAAAAAAGAAGACGTGTTTTTATTTTCCATGGAAACAAGACAAAGCAATGGCTATAAATTAAGAATAAAAAAGGCAGGTGAGGTGGAGTATCCGTGATAGGAGAGGGGGAGAGATAGGATTTTGGGCTGAGCCAAAGCAGGATAGTCCCAAAATACGAAATCCGCGTTTTTCCACATGCAGTTTTGTCTTCAGGCTTCGTGTACACAGAGTTTGCTTCTTGGAAAAAATACACTGCCAGGTAGTATCCTGCTTGTACCTTTAGGGCACTTCCAGACTAACAAGTTCCAGGTGGGACTCAACCACATAATGGCAAACTCGGGGGTTGCACAATTTCCGCTGATCGGAAGGTATTGTGCAACAAACCTGCTTCCCCACAAAAACCGGCCTTTTGTGATGAAGGGAAATCGCAATGAAAGTGTGGGATAACGCTTGCTTCAAGGCAATGACATCATCTAACCTTCCCATGGACAAATCCGAGCGAATAAACTCAATAAACAGGTTGTCTGGAAAGTGCCCTGCATCCTTTTGCTTCTAAATTCCTAAAAGAAGCTGCCAAACGTGCATCGCCTGGCAGATTCTTATTTGCATTCCATCCTCCTCTTGCACAGCAATAACAACCCAGATTTCAGTTGGAATTTCCCATAACGGTTTAATAAGGTCAAAAGGTAAAGGACCCCTGGACGGTTAAGTCCAGTCAAAGGTGATTATGGGGTTGCGGCGCTCATCTCGCTTTCAGGCCGAGGGAGCTGGCATTCGTCCACAGACAGCTTTCCGGGTCATGTTGCCAGCATGACTAAATGGCTTCTGGTGCAACGGGACACCGTGACGGAAGCCAGAGCGCACGGAAACACTGTTTACCTTCCTGCTGCAGTGGTACCTATTTATCTACTTGCGCTGGCATGCTTTCAAACCGCTAGGTTGGCAGGAGCTGGGACAGAGCAACGGGAGCTCACCCCGTTGCAGGGATTTGAACGCTGACCTTCTGATCGGCAAGCCCAAGAGGCTCCGTGGTTTAGACCACAGCCCTAGTGTAAGCCAGCACAGCTCCATCTAAAAGTTGCTGGACTCCCAACTCCCCAAATCCCTGACTGTTGGCCATGCTGGTCAGATGAGAGAGATAGGGGGGAAGCCTTCACTTTGGCTTATTCTGCCCTAGGAGAAGATTGGCAAAATGTTCTGCATCTGTACAAAACTGCAGATTCGAAAGCGTTTCTGTATCTCTAGCAGTTTGTGCGGATGAAGGGAATTCGCCAGGCACAGCTTGACGTGCAAGGAGAAAAGGGGCCAGTGCAGAATAGAACCACAGAATCGTATAGTTTGAAGGGACCCCCAAGGCTCAACTAGTCCAACCCCCCTTGTCATGCTGAAATCTCAACTAAAGCATTCAAGACAGATGGCCAAAACAGCAAGAATGGGAAGATGCAGCACTCCAGATATCGAAGGGCTACAACTTCCATCCTCTTTGATCATTGGCTATGCTGGCTGGGACCGATGGAAGCCAAAATCCAACAACATTCAAAAGGCAGCGGGTTTGCCATTTCTGCAGTGCAGGGCATTTTATCATACGCCTGTTAAAAATTCCCTGCTTTAGAGAACTTATTGAATACATAGGAGCCCTTAACATCATTTTAAAAAAGCAGCTTTTGGGTTTCTAGCAAAGTCCAGTGTAGCATGAGCCACGGGATGGCTCATTGCATGAATCGGGAACCTTTGGCCCTCCAGATGGGGCCGAACTCCATCTCCCATCAGCCCGGGCAAGCATGGCCAATGGCCAAGGATGATGGGAATTGTAGTTGAGTAACACTGGGGGAAGGGACACGGGTGGCGCTGTGGGTTAAACCACAAAGCCTAGGACTTGCCGATCAGAAGGTCGCGATTCGAATCCCCACGACGGGGTGAGCTCCCGTTCCTCGGTCCCTGCTCCTGCCAACCTAGAAGTTTGAAAGGACGTCAAAAGTGCAAGTAGATAAATAGGTACCGCTCCGGCGGGAAGGTAAACGGCATTTCCGTGCGCTGCTGTGGTTTGCCAGAAGCGGCTTAGTCATGCTTCTGGAATGACCTGGAAGCTGTACGCCAGCTCCCTCGGCCAGTAAAGTGAGATGAGCGCCGCAACCCCAGAGTTGGCCACGACTGGACCTAATGGTCAGGGGTCCCTTTACCTTTTATTTAACACTGGGGGAAGGGGGCCAAAGGTTTCCCACCCATGGTGTATCAGAAAGGGACTGTGGTAATGCTATAGAGATAATGAGACGCTCGACAGACTCTTTGGCATCTTCATAAAAACCACAATGCCCAGAATTCCTTGGGGAGAAAATGGCAGTGAAGTGAGTGATGAGGCCGTTGTAAAGCCGTTTAGATTGAAGCTGGTTCACCCAGTTGCGTTTATTCCTTGATGACTCAAGTTATCAACACCAGACTCTCCAAGTGTCCCTATTTTCCAGGGACAGGTTTACAGAAGCCGTCCCAGTTTCTGATTTGATCCTGGAATGCCCTGCTTTTCCTTAGGACATCTCTGTTTTCATCAGAGAAATGTTGGAGGGTATGGAGTTAAATGATCCCTGAGCCGAGGAGATAAGTAACTATACAACCTTTAGAAGACATCTGAACCCTGTATGGGGAAGTTTTAAAATGTTTTCTTATGTTTTTTATATATGTTGAAAGCCACCCAGAATAGCTGGGGCAACCCAGTCAGATGGGTAGGGTATAAATAATGAAATTATTATTATTATTATTATTATTATTATTATTATTATTAATAGGACACCTCTATTTTCATCGAAGAAATGTTGCAGCGTATGCAACACCCATCTGTGAACAACTAATGCCACACCATACCATCACCACAGATCAAGCACAAACGTTTCCGAAGAGACATTTCAAAGGAAAACATCTGGAAGCTGGTCGGTGTGCAATTCTGCAGCAAGTAGCCCAAAGGTTCAAAATTGCACGGGGTGAGTTGCCCCACTGCCTGTTCAGTTGAGGCTGAGAGGGGGAAATTGCAGCTGCCCCACTGTTGCTGGACCCCAGTTGCCATCAACGCCAAGCCAGCAGAGCCAATATGAGGGATCATGGGAGCTGGAGTCCAATAACATCCAGAGAACCACAGATTCCCTGCCTAGGGGCTGAGGCATGAACAGGAAACCTATTGCTCAGGAGAGCTATTGCTCAAACTTATTCAAAGGCTGGGGAAACGTACATCACTGAGGTGTTAGTAATCCCTTGCCCCAGGGTGGATTTGCTCAGTAAATGCGGGTCACCCTTCTTGCTCATCAGGCCGCAGCCTACCTGCGATGGCCTCCCAGCTAATTATAAAAGCCAGACTACACAAGACTGCCAGTTCTGAAATTGCGTGTCTTCCAACAGCTGCTTTTTTAAGAATGAAAAGTCCTGGGAGAGGCAGAAGTTGGAAGTAGGGGGTTGGGTAAAGTCCAGCTGCTTAACCCTCTCCCTTCTTGCCATCGGGTATCCTCTCAAAACAAACTCCCAGCAGATTTTCCAGATGTGGGGGATAAAAGGACCCCATGGGAGAAAAACAACAGGGGTACGTTTTTGAGAGGACAATGATGGGTGGGGAAACAACCTCCGGAAGAAAGAATCGTGGAATCTTCCATCACACGCAGTTTGGCTCAAAAAATATATATCAAGGGTCACCTGGTTCCCCTCCCCCTCCTAACTTTGGTTTCTCCACCAGGGGGCGCTTCAATGCTCCTGCTGCTCAAAGATGGTGGCAAATGTCCTGAAAGAAAAAGAGAAAAGGGGTTTAAATTAAATCTTTTTGCTTATTTCGGGTCAACAGTCATCTATCCTACACTTTCTCCAAGGGGGCCACAGCTGCCTATGTGGAATGAGCAGGCAGTCTCCTTTCCAAACAGATGCCTGTCCTAGATCTGAATGCCTTGAGAGAGAGAGACCTCATATTGTTCCCATTTCACAGACGAAGAAAACTGAGGGCCGAAAGAAAAGAGTTTCCCCAGCTTTATGTGGCAAGCTGAGACAAGACCGGAGGTTAAAGCTGCAAGATCTCTGCTGGATCCTGGCTGTCCTTTCTCCAGGGGTAGAGGCTGCAACACAAGGAAAGGGGAGGAAGTAGATTTTGGAGCTCAGCTACTGTCTCTCCTTAGGACTTGAATGGGATCAAGGGCTGTTACTTACTGAAATAAGGCTCCAGATAATTCATCCACGATGCTCCCTGCAAAACACAAAACAGAACAAATCAGGATTTTGCTGTTCCTAGGGCACTTACCATCTGCTCATCTTGAGCTTAAAGGTAAAGGTAAAAGTACCCCTGCCCGTACGGGCCAGTCTTGACAGACTCTAGGGTTGTGCGCTCATCTCACTCAAGAGGCCGGGAGCCAGTGCTGTCCGCAGACACTTCCGGGTCACGTGGCCAGCGTGACAAGCTGCATCTGGTGAGCCAGCGCAGCACACGGAACGCCATTTACCTTCCCGCTGGTAAGCGGTCCCTATTTATCTACTTGCACCCGGAGGTGCTTTTGAACTGCTAGGTTGGCAGGCGCTGGGACCGAACGAAGGGAGCGCACCCCGCCGTGGGGATTCGAACCACCGACCATGCGATCGGCAAGTCCTAGGCACTGAGGTTTTACCCACAGTGCCACCCGCGTCCCTACCATCTTGAGCTTACGTCTCCCCATTTAAGCAAGCTTTATGAAGTTGTTTATTGCTGTGTTTATTGCTTATTTCTTGGCAAGGAGCAGGAGGGAACATAGACCGTTCAGCCTATTTTCTCACAATCATTCTGGGGGTGGAGAATGGCTGAGTGGAATATGTGGCGACGTGGTGGCTCAGCCGAGACAACACTGTGAGCTAGATGGCTCAGCTGAGATTTGAACCCAGGTCCTTCCTAGCCACTGCCACCCGCACCCCCAACCACCCAGTCTAAGTCTGACACTCGATCCTCTAACACAGAGGTGGTCAGACAGTAGGCTTCCGGGATCTACTTCAATTTTTACTCAAAAACCCAAGACCCACAAACTGGAGCCAGGTGCAAACATACCCTTAGGCTCAGTACACACCATACATTTAGAGCACATTTAAATTAAAGAATCCTAGGTTTACAGAGCTACAGTTTCCAGCACGCTTCACAAACAACCGTTTCCATTACTCTGGGGGGGGGGGTGTACTTTAAACGTACGGTGTGCATGTAGCCTAAAATTAAGGAACAGGGTCCCTCTGAGCATATCCTTAGCCATGGATAGGCAAACTAAGGCCCGGGGGCTGGATCTGGCCCAATCGCCTTCTAAATCCGGCCTGTGGACAGTCTGGGAATCAGTGTGTTTTTACATGAGTAGAATGTGCCCTTTTATTTAAAATGCATCTCTGGGTTATTTGTGGGGCATAGGAATTCGTTCATCCCCCCCCCCCCAATATAGATAGATAGATAGATAGATAGATAGATAGATAGATAGATAGATAGATAGATAGATAGATAGTCCGGCCCCCCACAAGGTCTGAGGGACAGTGGACTGGCCCCCTACTGAAAAAGTTTGCTGACCCCTGCTCTGTACTGTATATAAAACTAAAAAAAATGTTAAGGGAATCGTCGACATTAGTAACGAAACAGCGATTTGGATGTGCTATAAACATGCAACACCAGATGGCGCCAGAGGGCAGGAAATTTTAAAACACACTTTTCCATAGGGATTTCTTTATTTTGTTATAACAATCCACTGGGGGTACACAGGGGTACGCGTACCCCTAAACATAGGAATTCGTTCATTTCCCCCCCTTCAAAATATAGTCCGGCCTCCCACAAGGTCTGAGGGACAGTGGACCGGCTCCCTGCTGAAAATTTTTGCTGACCCCTGTCCTTAGCCAAGGACTTTTGTGTACTGGCCACTGACTTACCATAAAAACCCCCACTCCTGCTTCCTCCCCAACCACATATTTCTTCACCTCAGCAGCCGAACTTAGAAAAGAGGCTTTTCCTCACTGCTAACTTGCAGGACCTCCTACAAATCATGCAAGAGGTCTGCCGGTAGATCCCACCTGCCCACGCCAACGCTAAAGCCGCAAAGGGGAAAATCAACTCACCGGGTGCACAGGCCGCCTCGCACACAGGGCAAACGTAACAGAAATGGCAATACTGCAGAGAGATAAAAGGAGTTACCGCCAACAGGGCACTGTGTTGTAAATAAAAAATATGCCCTTTTTCCCTTATGGGGTATCCAAGAGCCCATATAGAGTCCTTACGTAGGTTCCCTATTGGTAGGAGAGAATAACAGAGGCCAACCAGAGAATATTGAGAAGCAAAGCAGCTAGTAAGCCTGATCTTTATTGATCTGTTGCAACAGGGTACTCCCTCACACGCAGGAGAGGAGGAGGACCCAGAAAGATGGTGTGCAAGACCTTATAAAGACTTTTGAAATTCCCATTCTCTAGATCAAGACCACCCCCAACATTACACATACGTCACAGAAGGGGTGTAACCTAAGACCACCCCTCAGATACACCCCACCTACATCACAGAAATTTAAATGTTGTTTTTCTCCTGTCACAGTTTATCTCCTGTCTGGCAAGTTACTTGATTGGATTTCCCGGGGAGCCTGGCCATTCTTTTGTAGTGGTAAAATACTTATTTCCTGGGCCAGGTCACAGGCTCACACCTTATTCATATCTTAAATGTGTCCTTAAGACAGGATTTGTGAGGAAAGAGACAATGGGGAGACTTTTCCAGTTTGACTTTGCAGAGAAAACATTTGGTCAGTTTAGGAATCAAAATGGTTCCAGGTTGGTCTTCCTGTGTTGATCTATGTATGTGCAGTTATGAACATTACCATATATCTAAGACTATAAAATTCCTATCACAACTGCTATGGTTAAGGTTCACGAAACCAGAGTAGCAAGTCTGGGGCAAAGGAAGGGGTGGGGAGGAGGGAAGGGCAAGTTTGTGGCACTGACCTGGCAGCTTGCGCAGTATTCGCTGCTGTCTCCTTCTTTGCAGGGGCACTTGTCACACTTGTCGCAATCCTGGGGGTGGAAATTCAGGAAAATTTAGCTGGGTCTGTTTGGGTGGCAAGTCCTCAGCACAGCTCTCCTTGTCCTACGTTCCACAACCAAACCACTCTGCCCATGTGACGCCTTCAGAATGGTGGATTTCTTGTTTGTTATTTGCAGGCGTATTTGGCAATCTCTCAAAGGACCTGTTGATGGCATTTTACCACTGTACTGTGAAGAGTGTATTAACTTATGGTCTGTGTGTGTGGTTTGGGAGCTGCACGGCCAGGGGAAAAACAATGCTGTCCAGGGTTGTAAAGACTGCAGAGAGAATAATTGGGTGCACTCTTCCCACCTTGGATCAAATCTATGCTGCCAGGTGCCTTAAGAAAGCGGCAGAGATAGCACAGGATAGTACGCACCCCGGAAATGATCTCTTTCAGCTTCTGCCTTCTGGAAGAAGGTATAGGGTTATAAAGACCAGGACTAGCCGCCTGAGAAACAGTTTCTACGCAAATGCAGTTCTGGTTCTAAACGCAGTATAAGGAGTCTCTATAGTATCTTGTATTTTAAAATGGAGTTTCAGAGTTTTTAGGGGTTTTTGAATGTTTTGTGTAGATTTTCAATTTCATTGTTCTGTATGGGGCAATGACAATAAAGATATTGTATATCGTATATCGTTGCGGTTGCAATACTAGTGCATTAGTGGTAAATTCATACAACATTTCCCTTTATTAGTTGTTCCGTGATGCTTCCCTGACATTCTTGCATTCTTGCCATCTGGAAAGGCAACCTTGCACAATAGACAGTGCTTTTTTTCTAGAAAGGTGTTTAGGGGTACTCTCATTTTGACGCAAGAAAACCACCATTTTATAGTACTAATCTAGAAAAATAAAGACAGTAAATGGGCAAAAGTACAAAGATTCACCAAATGTTTAGGGGTATGTGTCCCTCTGCGTCCCCCCAGAAAAAGCACTGACAATAGCACAACAAAAGAAGGACCAAAAACAACAACTACAACCACCCCAAACAAGAACATTTGCAGTATGAAAAGTTACAGAGCTGCAGCAGGAAGTTACAGGGCACGCACTGGTTGGAAATGAAGCAGTATCGTTATGCTTTTTTTAATGGTATTTAGAACACAGCCTTAGTTTGGACAAAAAGGAGAGGAAAAGATATTTGATATTACATTTTGTATTTTCCTAATAAAGTTTATGCCAAAAAAGGGGGATTCAATGAAGCAGTATCATACCCTCCAACATGTTGAATCCCCAAACCGAGATGCGCATCTTTGTGGCTGTGCATGAGTCATGTGACTCATGCGAGATCACAGAGCCCAAAATATGCATTCCCCCCCAAAATGCACGTTTTGGGGCACTGCGCAAGATTTGCGGCCCCGAAAAAGCACTTTTCTCACGGCAAGATCTCGGCACCCAAAATGGCCCTCATGCACTTGCATGAAAAAAATGGGATGTCCCAGTTTTCCCAGGACATTTGTCGGGTATGCAGTATGTCCACTCCAAAACTTTTGCAGAAGTAAACAGTATTGAAGGCGGGATCATGTGTAACTGGCCCAATATCATAATGGGCGCAACTAATCGTGAATGCACAATAACCCTGGAGGGTCCCAATAGAACCACAGGGAGCTTTTGGTCCATTTTGATTGGTCTACCCTGACTTGCAGTGACTCTTCTGGGCGTCAGGCAAAGGTCTTTGCCAACTCTATTGGGAGACTGAATCATCTGCATGCTAAGAAGTTCTGCCGCAATTCCCCGATTCATCCTGGTCCCTCAACACTATAGTTATCCTTCTCATCACCACATAGGAAACCACCATCACCAGAACCCCACTGAAAATATTATTTTGCAGTTCGTTCTCTACTTCAGTTTCCGGATTCTGAGCCTGTTTGCCCCTGCAAAAAAGATCTGAAATTGCCAAATCGCAGGTTCCTCAGCTGCTTTCAGTTGGCTGCTCAATCAAAACAGCTCGCTTTCCTGCATTGAGTTCTGCATCCATCCTTTTCTCTTCTCCCTCTCTATGGGATAACTTCTGGCCCTCCAGGTGTTGCTGAACTACAACTCCCATCAGCCCTGCCCACTGGCCCTGTTTGCTGGGTCTGGTGGGAGTTGAAGTTCATCAGCGTCAGGCGGGCATAGACTTGTACTGTATGTAAAACTCCTGCAGTCACATGAAATTCCAGGAGAAAGTGACACGGAGGTGCAATTCTAATTTTTTGGAAGAGACAGGCTGTGATTCACAAAACGTACGCTCCCTTTCCTAGTTCTTCCCTGCTCCCCAACTGCCTAGTCCTCAAGATACGGCTGGCACCTTCCCCATCCCCCACGAAGGCTCCTGTGTCTTTAATAGGCGCAACAAAGCAGAAATCCCGTGGGTGAAGTTCCTTTCCGTCGCCTTGTCAACAGGCTATGAAATTATTTTACAGCTGTACATGCGAAACTGTCAGACCACTGGCCCAAAAGCCATGCTCGTGCAGGCTTTTGAGTTCATTGACCCCTTGGTGAGGAAATAAACTGACATCGACCCGAAGCCAAACTCGGAGGGATGCAAACAGAGTCAAGAAATATTGATCTATAATCAGCATTTGTTAATCGTGCATCTACCAATACCAGGAATCATAAAATGTTTCCTCCACACCCACTCACCCCACAAAGGAATACTGTTGTATTGCTAAATTGTCATATTAAACACAGAGGTCCAAGGGAGGTGCACTCTGCACATGCCCTTTATCCTGGAGGCTCATAGTTCCTGGTTAAATTTTCCATACTGTAGCTCGTAAACCTCTTTTCCAACTTCTTTTCTATCCCTCTGTGGGACGGCTGAATATCCCTGCATTGCAGGGAGGGTTGGACTAGAATGATTCTCTTTCCACTCTACAATTCTATGGTTCTATCTTAACATCGTGGGGAAGACCCAGGTTAGCTGTACTAACTAGGTAAAGGTAAAGGGACCCCTGACCTTTAGGTCCAGTCATGACCGACTCTGGGGTTGCGGCTCTCATCTCGCTTTATTGGCCGAGGGAGCTGGCGTTTGTCCGCAAACAGCTTCTGGGTCATGTGGCCAGCATGACTAAGCTGCTTCTGGCGAACCAGAGCAGCAAACGGAAACGCCGTTTACCTTCCCGCCGGAGTGGTACCTATTTATCTACTTGCACTTTGATGTGCTTTTGAACTGCTAGGTTGGCAGGAGCAGGGACCAAGCAACGGGAGCTCAGCCCGTCGCAGGGATTCAAACCGCCGACCTTCTGATCGGCAAGTCCTAGGCTCTGTGGTTTAACCCACAGCGCCACCCGCGTATCTAGCTGATACGCGTATCTACCAATGGGCAATTCCAAGGCCCTGTAGCTCTGTATCTTTAAAACAGACCTGGACCAGGTAGCCCTTCAAACAGAGGACACCTTCAAGTAGAAGACTGTAAAGTAGAAGATGGGGCCTCCCCAAATCATGGATCTCTATCTGATGTATAGTTTTGGCACCGCATCCATAAATCTGGGGAGGAAGAGGGGGTTGCAGGCAGGGACCAGGCAAAGAAGAACACAGGAACAACAACAACCCATCTCTGAGCCAGACCTTCAGAATGAGCATGCATGTAATAGGTTGTGCCAAAATAAGGCAGACTCTCATCAAAGGCATAACGGCAAACAAGGACAGGAAGAGGGAGAAGCCATGGCAGAGTTAAGCCCAGGCTGCTTCTATGGAGAGATGAAGGCAGATCCTTCCTTCTCCTCCAGAGATCCAAAGGAAGGAAAAGCATGCCGACGTATTGTAAAATCCACACACCGGCCGATAGGGTGTCTCATCAGAAGTCAATGAGAAGGAAAATTATGCCTGCTTCAGGGGTAGCAGGGAAAGCAGTCATGTTGCGGATTAATAGGCGACCGAACTAAAGTAGGAAGGGCAAAGATGTGAGGCATGCAAGAGGAGACCCTTAAGGCTCGACTACAAATGGTTTGGGCGGTCAAATCCCACCCTGGAGAGCTGAGCAGGTATGCGGGCGAAGGCTTCTCCTTTGTTACCTTGCAGAAGGCACAGTAGTGGCACAGAGAGCCTGCCTCGTACTCTTCCTCATCCTCGTCATCCTCGTCGTCTTCCTCTTCTTCAATGGAAAAGAAAGACATAGATACAGATGCCCAGAAGGGTCCCTCCCGGTGGGAGAGGGAGGAGGTTCTAGAGGGCAGCTGGGAGCCCCCAGGTGGTTCTGGGGGCCCAGCATGTTGGTGCTAGAGGGGAGAAAGTTGGGCTAAGCAAAGAGGGACGCCAAGTGTGTGGGGAAAGCCAAGAGCTTCTCTGTGCGGCCTAGCTGGCAAAAAGCACGGGGTCCTTCAAGGGGAAGGGAGGGCAGCCACAATTTATGGGCCCTTGGGTGAAAGCCAGGGGTCGGTTACCCCTAAAGAAAGCCAACATGGCCTCATCCCACCCTACCCCACCCAATAAGCTTCTCTCACCTTCTCCCTCTTTGTGGTGCTTCTTGGCCTTGTCATGGCCTTCGTGCCTGGGGTGCTTGTGTTTGTGCCCTTCATCCTCCTCCTCTTCCTTGGACTCCGTTTCATGAGACTCGTCTTCCTCGTCACCATGGTGATGGTGATGGTGGCGGTGCTCTTTGCCCTCGTCAGCTTCCTTATGGTGATGGTGCCTGTGGGCCTCTTCCTGGTCATCGTCATCGTGGTGATGGTGATGACCGGCATGCTCTTCTTCTTCTTCACTGTCGTCGTCATCATCCTCATGGTGATGGTGGTGAGCATGATGTTCATGATGATGGTGTTCCTCTTCATCACTGTCGTCATCGTCATCATCATCATCATCATGGTGGTGGTGGCTACCATGATGTTTCTGATGGTGGTGGTCGTGTTCATCATCATCATCGTCATCATCTTCATCATCATCATGCTCGTGATGGTGGTGATGGTCACCATGATGTTCGTGATGGTGGTGATGTTTGCCATGGTGGTCATCGTCATCGTCGTTATCATTACCATCATCATCATGGTGATGGTGGTCACCATGGTGTTCATGGTGATGTTTGCCATGGTGGTCATCGTCGTCATCATCATCATCATCATTATGGTGATGGTTACCATGGTGTTCATGGTGATGATGATGCTTTCCATGATGGTCATGGTGGTCATCATCATCATCGTCATCATCATCGTCATGGTGATGGTTACCATGGTGTTCATGGTGATGATGATGCTTGCCATGGTGGTCATGGTGGTCGTCATCATCGTCATCATCATCATCATCGTCATGATGGTGGTGATGGTCACCATGATGTTCATGGTGCTGATGATGCTTGCCATGGTGGTGGTCATCATCATCATCGTCGTCATCATCATCATCGTGGTGGGAACTGTGGTGATGATGGTGCTCTGCATGGTGATGTCCAGTGTGGTGATGATGGTGTTCCTCATCGTCATCGTCATCATCATCATCATCATGGTGAGGATGGTGGCCTCCTTGCTGATGCCCTGCTTCATGAAGGTGGCTGGCACGGTGATAATGATCGCCGTCGTCATCAGCATCATGCTGTCCATGGTGGTGATGGCGTTCGCCCTCATGCTGGCTTCCATGGTGGTGTTCGTGATGGTGGTGCTGTTCCTCTCCCAGGGCTCTAGGGAGCCTGAATGAGCAGAGCAGGACCAGAAGGAGGCCCATTGTCAGGGCTTTCCAGGAAGCCATGGCAGAAGGGGGTGGGTGGAAGCAACACACTCAGAAGTCTCAGAGGCAAGAAACTCGGAAAGGCCGTCAGCCCGCAAGGAGAGCTAAGGGGTAGGAATATACAGTTTCCAGCCCACCGTGTGTATGAGCGACGTCTACAGCTGGCCTAGATTAGCCCTTCAGCCAACAGCCAATGGCTGCCCAGCCCAGCCTCCAAGATAGATGAGAGCACCAAGCCGTGGGCCCTGCCGTGCCCTTATATGAAGTGGCTGGGCTGGAGGGGGTGGGGAGGAAAGGAGAGGTATCTAAGCTGCTTGCCATAGTGCAAGGCTATTCTTAGCCATTAGGAGCAACTGTGCCTCACTCCCTCAATGTGACAGGGAAGCCAGCAGGGTTTCAGATCAGAGGAGGCAGAAATAAGAGCCAGGACTCCTGGGTTCTCTGAGAGAGAGGGCATATATGCATGTGTGCATGCGTGGTTTAGTGCACTAGAGAAACTAGAAGCTCAGAATCTAGGAGCTAAAGCAACAGGCCTAAGACCCCAATTCCTGAAAGGAGAGGAAGGCTTGATGTGTTTAGGGTTGATATCCGGATATTATTGAATCAGGCAAACCCAGAGGTGTGGTGGGAGAACAGCAGGGGGAGGACAGAAAATGCCCATTTTAATCCACGTGGTTTGTTATTTGCTGGTGGAAATTGTTCATGCTCATTTGTTTGTTTCGTTCAGTCTAAACTCTGGGAAGTGAGCGATTTTATCTTGTTCATACACTGAAACAAATCAACATAGAGATAGATGATTGATAGATAGATAGATAGATAGATAGATATAGATAGATAGATGATAGATGATAGATAGATAGATAGATAGATAGATAGATAGATGATAGATAGATAGATAGATAGATAGATAGATAGATAGATAGATAGATAGATGATAGATAGATAGATATAGAGACAGATGATAGATAGATAGATAGATGATATAGATAGATAGATGATAGATAGATAGATAGATAGATAGATGATAGATAGATAGATAGATAGATAGACAGATGATGATAGATGATAGATATAGATAGATGATAGATAGATGATAGATAGATAGATAGATAGATAGATAGATAGATAGATATGATAGATAGATAGATAGATATAGATAGATGCTAGATAGATAGTTGATAGATATAGATGATAGGTAGGTAGGTAGATGATAGATAGATATAGATAGATAGATAGACAGACAGTTTATCATCTATCCCCTCCAATTTTGGATCGTTAAAGTGGAGTTAGGCCGAACTCCCTACCACCACAAAAGATGCCATCTCTGGGTTTTACGAAAGGCAGCAGCCCAACCTATTTTTTAAGGAAGCCCAAAGATGTGGCGATAGGAGGAGGCTTACAGGGAGGCAAGTCGGACCCCTGCTTTTCAGAGAGGAAAAGGAGCGACTCAGGAGCCAAGGTGATGCTCCAGAGCATTTTATTTTTTTGAGAGGCAGCGTTCCTTGCAGCCTCAGGAATGTGCTGATGGGTCCCAGCGGTTGAAACCGAATCCACAGAGCTGGCCGAGATCTATAAATACCTGCGCAGCCCTGCAGTGACCTGGATCATTCCTGCTGGTGTCCTGTTCTCTGGATGACAGTGCAAGAACTGCCCCTGAACAGGTCACAATCCCCTCAGGAGGAGGATGGGGGTGAGACCTGGTTTTGTCCAACATTTAATCCATGTGTCCAGAAACAGCATGCACTCCCAAACCAGAAAACTGCACTTCTCCAACTGTGTGCGCAAAAACTATGTATGAATATTAAGGAAAAGTGTGTCTAAAGATGCATATACCGTATTTTTTCGTGTATAAAATGCCCCCGTGTATAAGACACCCCCACTTTTTGGGGGCTAAACATTGAAAAAATGGGGGGAGATTGCCCCGTGTATAAAACGAGCCCAAATTTTTAGCATAACTTTTTAATAAAAAAAGAACCTAGTTTATACACTGAAAAATACGGTATATTTTTTGCAGGGGGGCATGTACTAAATGGAGTTATATTAGGGAACATGGCTTGCAAAAATGTGCACATGAGGCGAAACTCCACACACACACACACACACACACACACTTGGGAGAAATGAGTGCTAAAATGCTGACAATTTTTTGAGAGGATTTTTCCTCCCCCTTTAATGCAATCCGACGCACAAACATGGGTAACTGAAGACTGATATAGAAGAGAACCAAAATTGACAGATTTGTCGTTTGTGATCAATCAAGCTGAACCGAATGGTACCCTTGGAGGCACCTACCACCAATGTTGTCCATGTCAAGTTTTGGGCACTGTTCAGTAAGGGATGCTGCAGTCACACAACCACAATATTGAGAGACTCACCCAGAAGTGTGTGAGGGGACGAAGGAGGGTGCTAAGGAGTTGGAGAGCTTGCAAAGGCCCTCCTCTTTCCCTTCACACCAAGAAGCCATCAGGAAATGACGTCCCCACATGGGGACAACGGAAGACTAGAATGCCCAGAACTCTCAGATTGGTCTTACCTCCCAAACCCCCTGGATTGGCCTTGGGTGAAGAGCAGGGAGGTGGAGAGTCCCCTCAGTGGTCAGAGGGCCCCCCGTGTCACATTGGGACATCGCACAACATTGTGCATGGGCTCCCTCAATCTTCTGGAGAAGATGGCGCCTCTCGTCTCAGGCATCATACAGGCCACCCTGCCCGAACTTGCAGTCGTGTGTGTGTGTGTGTGTGTGTGTGTAAGACATAAACCTAAAAATAATAAATAAGTGTAAAGGGTTGAGGGAAATGATATACAATGAAATGAAAAGGACGTTTAAAAGAGCATTCGTAAAAAAAACACCCCAGAAGCTTTCCTCTTGGGAATTATAGGGACAGTACTAGCTAAATTAGGGATGCGGGTGGCGCTGTGGGTTAAACCACAGAGCCTAGGACTTGCCGATCAGAAGGTCGGCGGTTCGAATCCCCGTGACGGGGTGAGCTCCCGTTGCTCGGTCCCTGCTCCTGCCAACCTAGCAGTTCGAAAGCACCTCAAAGTGCAAGTAGATAAATAGGTACTGCTCTGGCAGGAAAGTAAATGGTGTTTCCGTGCGCTGCTCTGGTTCACCAGAAGCGGCTTAGTCATGCTGGCCACGTGATCCGGAAGCTGTACGCCAGTTACCTCGGCCAGTAAAACGAGATGAGCGCCTCAACCCCAGAGTTGGTCACGACTGGACCTAACGGTCATGGGTCCTTTACCTTTTTACTAGCTAAATTGTATAGAAATTTATTCATGTATGCAACTGCAGCGGCAAGAATGTTACTTGCCTGAAGAAGAAGAAGAAGAAGAAGACGACGAAGAAGTTCCACCAAAGGAAGAATGGATACAAAAACTTATGGAATATGCAGAAATGGTGAAACTTACCAGAAGAATAAGAAATCAAGATAACAAACTTTTTACAAAAGAATGGAAATATTTTATTGAATATTTACAGATAAACTGTAAACAGATAAAAACACTGGCAGGATTATTGTTATAACCTGCAGTTACGGTACATAAGAGTATATATTTAAAGAAGATAAATAAATGAGTAAGTGAATTTGTATATGCAGAAGATATTGAAAATAAATTTAAGGAACCGCAGAAAGAAGAAGAAGGAAGTCAAGTTTTAAAATGTCAAAATGATTGTGAAATCAGTGAAATGTATATATCTGAAAAGTATAAATAAAATTTTATATATACATTTGTGGGGGGGGGGGTTGAGGGGAAAAGGGGGATCTCAAATGGCAACGCTTTCCAACAGAATCGGTTTGCACCTTTATCTGGGAGACACCCAGCAGTCATCAGGTGCGAAAGAGGGACAAGCTCCTGCACCTTTCATAGTTGTGCAGAAGAGGGAATAGCAGCAGGTGTTATCTTGCGTGACTGGCGAAATCCTCACAAAAAACCATATTGTATTGTAGCACCCTGCTTGTGGTTAACGCTTAGCTGGAATGAAATATTCAACGCAGCAATAGAGAAATTAAAATAATAATTTATTTGTCAGACAAATAAATGAGAGGCACAGTGGTATATGGTTACCAAGCTCTGGCCTGGCCTCCTGCCATTATGGCCAGCACTTATATTCCCTTAATCCAGCCCCCTTTGCTCCTCCTTTGGCTGCCTCTGTCCAATCAGCCTGGTTGAAATTCCTATTGGCTGATTGCTAGAACCAATCACAAAAAGATACACCCATATCCTCCTGTCCTTATATGGAACACAAAGAGCTATATATTGTTACATCTATAAATGACAAATAAGTAGTAATATATCTTACATGTGTCTCAACAAGGAATCTTAATTACCAGCTCACCTCTTGCCCTCCTTGCCCTATTGCCTTCTAAAACAAATGGTTAATCTTAAATTTTTATCTTAAACATATGTCAAGGATCTTGAGTTTCACATCAACATTGAAAGATCTCCTTCATTTGAAGGTTTCTAAACAAATGCCTGACAACTATATATCAGGACTGCTTGGATGGCGTCTCCTGTCTGGCAGGGGGGCTAGGCTGGTGGCTGACTTAATTTCAGGATAAATACAACTCTTACAACTATATGAAATAAGAATCTAGCATTTCTTAAATCCTTTGCATAATTACATTTAAGACAATATATTTAATACATAACATAGGTAGCCTTTTAAAAGGAATAAGGCCTTTGTAAAGTAGAAAAAGGAACTCAGTAAAAAACAGCTTCAAAAGAAGCCTCTTCAGTTTACACCCCCCCCTCAGCCAGCTGCTTTTCCCATTAGCTTTTCCCAACATTTATTGCCCTTCAACTCTCTCAGTTTAAGAAAGAAACAGCTTTTAAAAAATACTTCCCAAAAATGCTCTCTTTCTGCCAGCTAGATGCTTCTCCATTGCTCTTGGCCTTTTAACCTTAGAAAGAAGATCTGGCTCATTTTACTGGGAGGCACATTGGTATTATTTTACTATTTACTCATTCCTAATTATGTTTATCTCTGCCTTTTTTATCTTCTGTAACATGTAGGGTCAGTGTCCTCGCTCTCAGCCTGTAATTCCCCCTTTTACGACTTTGAGAATTGTTTTCTGCTATAAATCAAGGGGCCCCTTGTCTAGGAGGAAAGCATTGCCAAGGTTCTCTAAGCAGCTGGCATGAAACATTTGAAAATCTAAGCCCATTTAATTTAGGAA